GATGGGGGGTGGGGTGGGTAAAATTGTAATGTCGATGTTGTGTTTCTTTTGATGACAAAACATGAAATCACTAACATCTTGGCTGGCAGAAGATACTTTTCCACAGTCAATATTGATTGAATTTGGCATAACATGTGGGTAGATGAAACTGGCAGGCCCATGTTTAAGTATGTTTATTCACTGAATTTGGCGAGGTGTCCTTTTAACAAAAGTATGTATAATAAGATTTTTGATGTAAATGTGGAATAATTTCATAGATCCAGTCATCCTCCCGCTTTCTCCGCATATGCACACAAATGTACATTGAAATGCCAAAAGGTAGATGTATTTTTTTCATTTCCATTATGAAATGTATGTTGTGGATTGAAAAAAAAACTATATATGTAATTAAACAGAACATTTAACAAGACAGAATGGCTTCACTGTTAAATCAAGACATTCCTTTCTTTCTCTGAGGCCCCTTCTACATTCCCATATAAAATCCAGATTATCTGCTTTGAACTAGAGTATATGGCATAGACTCATACAATCCAGTTCCATGCAGATAATGTGAATTATCTTCTTTAATAATCTGGATTTAATGGCAGTGTAGAAGGGGCCTGAGATAGGATGGCTTTAAAAGTGCAGGCCTGAAGCAAAAGACAGAGAAAATGTAAAGCAGCATAACCTATTGTATGGCTTGAGAATGTAAGGATTTCCAGTGAGTGAAAATGAGAACCCTCCCTATTATACAAGTAGCCTTCGAAAGTCAAAGTAGCAGTAGTAAGGACTACTATACTTTTATAGTCTTTCTAACTCAGCTATTATTTTAATTTGGGGAAAATATGATATTCAACCCTTTCCATGGATATACAAAAGTCCATAAAGGTGTGCTCACTAGATTTTATTTCTTTCTAAGGGCGCTTCCACACAGCCCTTTAAAAAACGCGGATGTTCCTGGGCCCCTATCCACACACACCCTAGAAAGCGTGCACTTTCTGCGGTGGGTGTCCAGATGTTCTTCTGGACTGGCCCGGGAGAACACCTGGAGACTCAACCCCCCTCCCCTAAAGTCTGAAAACCCCCTTTAAAGCAACCCCCCCCCCCCCCCACTTTCCTGACATGTTATTTCTATGCGCCAGGAGAGCTTTGGCAACACTTTACTGGAGGCCGGGTAAGTTTTCCTTACTTTTAAAAGGGATTGTGGACTGTGGGGGAGAGGGTTGGGATTCCCAAAGTTTTGCATACTAATTTAGTCCGGAAAACTGTGGGAATGGTGTCTGGATTGCAGTCCAGACATCGGAAGTAGTGGGTTTATCCCGCGCCTTCCAAAAAGGCACAGAATAAATCCAGTATCTAATTAATTCTCCACGGTGAATTAATTGCAGGTTGCCCAGAACATCATCTAGACAGCCCCCTTTTTATTGCAGATGTTTCCGCAATAAAGGGGCTGTCTGGATGCGCCCTAAGAGGTGATGGTCATGATGTAGAAGTAGGTATGTTGGCTGTGCAACAAAATCATTTTTGGTGATATAGGCATTTTTAGTGATACAGGCCGAGTATCCGTTACCCGAAATGTTTGGGACCAAACATGTTTCAGATTTAGGCTTTTTAAATATATTATGGAATGTATTTTTGCTATTTTGTTATTTCTAATTGTAAGTGTGTTTTGGGGCTGTAGTCCGACTGCCCTCAGCAAGAATGGGAATTGCTACCATTAAATTCCACCTGGAGTGAAATTCTGCAATAGATTAGAGGCCTCCTAACTGAAGGAATCATTCAAGAATTTTTAAGAAAGACAAAAATATTTTGACAACATTTAAGAAACCTCAGCAGAGTTCTGCACTGACTGCCATGGTTAAAATAGTTGAAGATGTCATTTTAAGGATCAGACACTTAGACAGGAGACTATCAATATAGATTTTCCTTCCTTTTTAAAGTTCCTGCACTAATGGAACTGTCGCTGCCTGCAGATTACTTACCGAGCCCACATAATCACCCCGTTAATTAGTCTCATTCCATGTTATATTTGCGTAATTTCAACTTTCCCAGAGCTGTAATTTTGCCTCCCTTTACCAATTAGAGCAGCTGTATTCTAATTACATTACCAACAAAAAAAGCTCATTAATGTCTCCTAATTGGCAGTGTTTCGAAAATCCTTTAGCTAATTTTAATATTTTCTAAAGAGTTCCTACCAAAGTTTAATTTAATCATCCAAAACAGCTTGGCAGTGGCATTTAGATAAAAGATGTGTCTATTTTCTTTGAAGGAAAAAGATAATCTCTTTTCACAGGGAGAAAATCAAATTGAGCTAAAAGGAAAAAAAAGTGTACAATAGTAGCAAAGGTTAACTTCTGAAGGTTTCAACTCACTAGAGCTGGCAGGAAGGACTTTGGGGTCTCTCACAATCATGCTGGGGCATTGGTGGGAATTGCTGGCCAAATTCTATTCTTCAATCACTATTTCTTCTGTCAAATAGTTCATTTTATCTTTAATCCCCAACTAATTAAAAACTAATACAGGCAGTCCCCGGGTTGTGAACAAGATAGGTTCATAGCTTTGTTCTTAAGTTGAATATGTATGTAATTCGGTACTTTAAAAATGTAAATCCATATATAGTTTTGGATAGCATAGGTTTCCTGACATTAAGTCTAGTTTTGTCTGACTCTGAGGAGTGGTGCTCATCTCCATTTCGAAGCCGAAGAGCTGGCGTTGTCCATAGACACCTCCAAGGTCATGTTGCCAGCATGACTGCATCGAGCACCGTTACCTTCCCTCAGAAGCGGTACCTATTGATTTACTCACATTTGCATGTTTTCAAACTGCTATGTTGGCAGAAGCTGGGCAGAACAGTGGGAGTTCACCCCTCTCCTCAGATTCAAACCGCCAACCTTTCAGTCAGTAAGCTCAGCAGCTAAGCCGTTTAACCTGATGCGCAATCAAGGGGCCCTTTTGGATAGCATAGAGAAGGGTTGATACCTCTGTAATGTTTGTTTTGATTATTGTGCCCCTGTTCAGGAGATTTCACCTCACTTTCCATCCCTGTGATGATTAGATTTTAAAATTTGTTGTAAAAATAAGGAATGCTGATAGAAACTTCAGCAGAGACACCTTTTCCCCATGATAACTCTTCCAAGAGTGAATTTCCCTTTCTAGGGGTAAATTTCCTCTCACTTCCTGTTGTCTCACCTCTGTTTGTAACTAGGAGTGGTATGTAAGTTGGATGTTTGTAATTTGGGGACTCTCTGTAATGGACTACCATGGATTGAAAATTTTTGAAAAGTATTTTTCATGGTCAGAAGTAGTAGTGCCCTTGACTTCACAAAGTACATCAGTGGTGGCACTCCAGACTTTTTTGGACTGCAGGATTGGTAGTTTAGAGAGACGAGAGAGCTGTATTGGTGCCTAACCAAAGCACAAATTCCCGTATTTCATATTACGTAGCCATGGTGGAATCATAGTTGTATAACTGTATAGAGTTATATCACTTACTATATCCACTCTATCATTTCATTTCGATCTCCTGCTCCCTCTAAACTTAAAACTGCTTAAGGACTGTGATATAACTTGATTTTAAGTCTTCTGAAACTCAAACCCTGAAAAGGGGGATAATTATTCAAATGAAATGTGGATCATAGTAGTTTATGACCTCCCAGATCATGAGGAAGTACTTGGCTGTGACTGATGACCAAAGTGGAGAGCTGGGTGGACTGAGAGCAAAAGAGAAGAAAAGGAAAGGAACATTAATAGTCAAATTTTCCAAAACAAGCAGAAAATACAATGCAATCTCTCTTAGCTTGAATGAAATAAAACCCTTGATCTTCAAGTCAGATCTTGAGATATGATAGCCATGGGCATTGTTATTATTTGTGTCCTTCGGGTTACTGTTACAAAATATCTGCTAGCCAAGAGTTGTAGACCTACAATTATAACAGATCAACTTGAAAACAACCCATTGACCACGGATTATGGCATCACGCTTAGTGGGTTATATTAAACCTTTTCCAGGGCTTATACAAGTTTTGAGCTGATACAAGTTTTGCCTTTTCTATGTGGTTCCTAAATTTTTGCATTACTAAAGTACTTTCCAAGTGCTATGTGCAATTAAGTCAGCTTCACCTTTAGCACAGCTGGTAATCACCAGAAGTAATAAATCTTATCAATCAAAAGGTTGGCTGTTCAAGGCCCGGGTATTAGTGAGCACCTGACCTTCACCCCAGCTTACTGTCCACCTAAGCAATGCAAAAACAGCTGTGAGTAGAGAAATTAGGTATTGTTTGAGTGGGGAGGTATTTTACGGCACTATAAAGGAAATACCAGAAAATGCCGAGAATCAAAGAAAGGAGGAAATCTATGATCAAGGGCTCTTTGTCAGAGAGGATGAAGTGACAGCATCCCCTGTGGCTGGAATCGAGCACAACCTCCAGGACATCAAAATTGAGAAAGATACCGACATAATACCTCTATCTGTTGTCTGTCCTGTCTGTTTAATGGCATTGAATGTTTGCTGTGTATGTGTTCTGCCATCTGACCTGAGTCCCCTTCAGGGTGAGAAGGGCGGAATATAAATGTTGTAAATAAATAAATAAATCTGTAAACTCAAAGATCTAATATATTATCTTCATGGCTGCTCTTCCAAAGCTATAGTATTCACTTTGATTAATATTTGAGCCAAGGCATAGAAAAAAATGTATTGATGTTTTACATGCTTTAAAGTTATGTAAGTTGCTTGTGATCACTATTTTTGTTTTCCCAATAATCAGTGGAACCCCTTTTGTATTCCTTATTTAACTTTCCTCAATAGGCATTCTAATGCTTTGCTATTTTCTGCTAATCATACTGTGTCATCAACATATTACAAATTGTTGATATGCCTTCTTCCAATTTTAGTAACTCTTTTTCCAGGTCACTCCTTTATGGCCTTGTTCCTTCATGGATACATCTATGTGGCATGTTGGAATAAATCTTAAGTTAAATTTGAGGTTTGAGGATGAGAAAGAAACAGGATGTGAAGTCTTTAAAATAGTTGTTTTATTCTTATTGTTCCTTTGTTTACTAACAAACAAACATACCTGAACAAAATGTCATATGATCTGCTGATGCAGAAATGTCACTAATAGACTATAAATATGAAGCCTTCCCTAATTTTCACTTTCTTATTCTACTTTGAAAATAGATTATCTGTGCCGCTAACATGGCTTCCACAGCCAAGCACGCCACCATTCTCTTTGTGAAGGCAGGTCCAGGAGGAAGAAAACATCTACTTAAGGCAGGGAAAAACACTGCTTCAGGAAATGGGTCATATGGATGTAGAGGTGCTTCAGAGAAAGGCCTGGGATCGCATGGTTCTCGTCAGCATACCACTGAAAAGAAAGAGAAACATTAAGGACCTCATCACACTAGAGCATGGGTCCACTTTAATTCCTGTTTCTGCCTCCTGCAGAATTTTGGGGCTTGTAGTTTAAGGAGGGGCTTTTAAACTGATTTTATAATTGTCTGGGTTTTTTGTGAATTTTTTTTTGTAACTGTTGTCTTGTGTTAATTGCTATTTTTATTGTCATAAATGTTGATATATTTTGTGTATTTTATGGCACTATTAGGTGCTGTTCTGGAAGCTGCCCTGAGTTGCTTCTGGGAGATGGTGGTGGGACATTTTTCATTGTGTCAGAAGCAACTTGAGAACATACTGCAAGTTACTTCTTGTGTAAGAGAACTGACTGTCTACAAAGACATTGCCCAGGGGATGCCCAGATGTGTTACCATCCTGTGGGTGGCTTCTCTCATGTCCCTGCATGGGAAGCTGGAGCTGACAGACAGGAACTCACCCCATCCCGTGGATTCGTACTGCTGACCTTCAGGTCAGCAGTTCAGCCGGCACAAGGGTTTAACCCATTGCACCACTATGGCTCCTATGGTGGTGGGATATAAATAAAATAATAATAATAATAATAATAATAATTATTATTATTATTATTATTATTATGTTCTCCTAAACCCAAACTGTAGCATCATATTGTTATTAGCACTATATATTAATCCTTAAATATCTTAATATCTATCTACCATGGCTTGGAAATCCACTTGTGCATTGACTAAGGCTTTGGAGATCTGTGCCGAGTTCTGAAAATGAACATTATCTGAAACAAAAGAAAAAGAAAAAGATGTGGAATTAATAAGATGACTGATTAAAATAAAGAAAGAAAAAAGAATCCAACCCACACAACTGACAAATATCAGAAAGCACACAAACGTGGTGCATTAGATTCATGTCATGTCTTATCAAGCTCCACCACAGACATGATCAACAATGAGTCAGCACCGCTTGATGTGCCGGATGGAAAATGGAAATGTGTCTGAAAGTACTGACCCATGGAGAAAAATGCTTAATGTTTCTTAAAACAAAGTGACTCTCTCTCGGGAGATGAGTACTGGCTTTTCATAAACCTCACCATCTGCCGTTCCATGGATGAGAAGGTAATCCACATTATGAAAGTTCTCAGCCCTTGCCATCACTGTTGAGTTCTGCAAAGTGGGGGAGACAATGAACCATTCAATGGTTGCCAAGCACAAAAGGATGGGTGACTTTGTTCATTGTTAGCTGCCCTGTACCACTGTAGAGCCACCAAGACATTCAGTAAGCAGTTCTTCTGTACTATTAAGAAAGGGTTCTCACATCATAAGCTTTGCCAGCTGAGTCTCCACTCAGGGTGCATCTATACCATTAATGAAGTTGGACATGACTTTAACTACCATGACTCCATGCTAGGTATCCTGGGATTTGTATTTTGGTGATGTGTCAGCGATTTGGCAGATAAGGCTTTTTTTTTTCATGTCAGGAGCGACTTGAGAAACTACAAGTCACTTCTGGTATGAGAGAATTGGTTGTCTGCAAGGCCGTTGCCCAGGGGATGCCAGGATGTTTTGATGTTTTACCATCCTTGGGGGAGGCTTCTCTCATGTCCCTGCATGGGAAGCTGGAGCTGACAGAGGGAGCTTATCCGCACCCCTCCTGGATTCGAACCTGTGACCTGTTGGTCTTCGGTCCTGCTGGCACAAGAGTTTAACTCATTGTGCCACCGGGGACTCCAGCAGATAAGGCTAAAGACCTTATGAAACTACAACTCTTGGGATTCCACAGCATTGAGCAATAGTAGTTAAAAATGGTGTCAAACTTACTCTGTAGTGTTCAAGATTGTCTGATTCTGTTGGAAGACCCATAAATCGTTCTGTGTAGATGGATGCTAAAATGCACAAGATAAAGAAGATGGTATGATTTACAGACAAAGCTGTGATACAATATAAAATATACATGTAACAGAAAATACGTTGCACAGTGGACTCCTGCTATCTGCTATGTCTTAGTTCCAGGATCCTCCATAGATACAAAAATGCACAGATGCTCAATTCCCACTAAATACAATGGCATAGTAAAATGGTGCCCCTTATTTTAAAAAATAACAAAATCAAAGTTTGCTTTTTTTGGATTTTTTTAAGGTGGAGGGAATATTTTCAAGCCATGGATGGTAAAATCTATGGATTCATAATTTGTGGATATGGATACAGAAGAATCTTTGATGTAGTTGGATCATAACTTCTCATAATCTCAACAAAACATGTCAAAAGTTTTAGTTGTCAGGACATTTACTTAGACTTGTGAGTTACGAGGCACAAGCCATTAGATAGAAAATATATAGCAGCCCAATGCAGACGATACTATTGTTAGGTGGATTCTTGTCGCACTGAGCTCATTGGGCCATTATTAAAACATAGCAGATTGTTAGTTATTTAATTTGTTGCAACTGTATGTGCATTTTATTTTAAGAGGACTAGATGTATGTTGCATGTTGTATGTTATGTCTGCATTGTTTGTTTTTGATAAGGCCAATTGGCTAATCAATAAAAATTATTGTTGTTACAACTGTAAAATACACCTGCGTGTATGTTTTACCACTTACTGTGCTGCAAAATCAAGCAGCTTTGCCAGATTTGTTTAGAATTGCAAATGGTGGGAGATGCGGTTTATTTCCCACCATTTGCACAGTTAAACACTGTGGCTACCAATGTTTAACTCTGGCAGCCGCAGTTCCTGTTGTATTTAGAGCATATATATACATATATACTTGAGTATAAGCTGACCTGAATATAAGCCGAGGCATCTTATTATAGCACAAAAAACTGGGTAAACATATATTGACTTGAGTATAAGTCGAGGGTGGAAAATGCAGCAGCTACTGGTAAATTTCAAAATAAAAATAGATACAAATAACATTACATTAATTGAGGCATTACGTTAAATGCTTTTGAATATTTACATAAAACTGTAATTTAAGATAAAACCGTCCAACTCTGATTAAACCATTATTCTAACCTTCTTCAATGTAAATATGCTTACGTATCATTCCAATAATAGAGTAAAATAATAAATGTAATAAAAACAGAGTAAAATAATGTAAATGTAGTAATGATAATATTAAATAGAGTAAAATAACAAATGTAATAATAGTAATAGAGTGAAATAATAAATGTCATAGTAATAAAAACTGAGTAAAATAATGTAAATATAATAATGATAATAATAATAGAGTAAAACAACAACAACAATAATAATAACAACAACAACAACAACAACAACAGAGTAAAATAATAAATAACTTTGACTCGAGCAAGACTGAGTTGAGCCCCACAAACATGTCATACTGGCAAACTATTTGGTGAATTTTATTTGTAATTTTCATTCTGGTTGCACAACTTAAATACACAATTTCAATAATAGCCTTAACTGTGCTAACTTCCCTGCCTAAACTAGGGCTTGCAAAACTGTGGCTCTTCAGGAGCCCTTCCACACAGCCCTTTATCCCACGGTATCAAAGCAGAAAATCCCACATTATCTGAGTAGGGACTCTGCTAATCTAGGTCAAAACAGGTATTGTGGGATTTTCTGCCTCGATATTCTGGGATAAAGGGCTGTGTGGAAGGGCCCCAGGTTTTTGTTGTTGTTGTGTGCCTTCAAGTCATTTCTGACTTATGGTGACCCTAAGGCAGTGGTACTCAACCTGTGGGTCCCCAGGTGTTTTGGCCTACAACTCCCAGAAATCCCAGCCAGTTTACCAGCGGTTAGGAGTTTTGGGAGATGAAGACCAAAACATCTGAAGGCCCACAGATTGAGAACCACTGTCCTAAGGCAAAACTTCAATGAGATTTTCCGAGGGTATGTGGTGTGGCTAAGATCACCCACATGGCCGAGTGGAACTTCAAACCCTGTTCCCCAGAGTCCTAATCCAATAGCTACATGCCATGTTGGGTCCAGAGTTTATTGACCAGCCAGCACAGCTAGTGGCAGAACACAGTTACCTAATGGAGCTGATGAGAGCTAATCTTTCCCATTTCTGATTTAAATTGGTTTTCCCTTTAATTGCCATCCATAACCATAGCTCCAAGAGCATCTTGAACAGAGATATGGTGACTTTTTGGCTGAACAGGATGATGATTGGGTTGCTGTAAGTTTTCCGGGCTGTATGGCCATGTCCCAGCAGCATTCTCACCTGAAGTTTCGCCCACATCTGTGGCAGGCATCCTCAGAGGTTGTGAGGTCTGTTGGAAACTAGGCAAGGGAGGTTTATATATCTGTGGAATGCCCAGGATGGGAGAAAGAACTCTTGTCTGCTTGAGACAAGTGTGAATGTTGCAATTAGCCACCTTGATTAGCATTGAATGGCCTTGCAGCTTCAATGCTAATCATTATTCTTATTTTTCTTATTAAAAATCTTTTGTTAATTTTTATGATACCTATTTTTCTTATTTAAAATCTTTTGTTAATTATTTTATGATACCTATTTTTCTTAACAATCTTTTGTTAATTATTTATGATTCTTATTTTTATTAACAACACTTTTACTGTGTTTTAAGAAAATCTGTAATAAAACAACTTAACAAACCACCACATGATAGATTAGGGTTCAATTTTAAAATAAATTGCTGATTCCAAGAATCTGTTTCGAGGTGAGATTGCGGCTCTTGTCAATTTTGCAGCTGTGACCAAGCACTTCGCAGTGACCCAGTTTCTGAAATAATTCGCTGTTTGTGCCTGGCTTTAAAGGGCTGATGGTTGCCATCATTTTTTCCGTACCATAATATTCCCAGCTGGAGACGGGAGCGACAGCTATTCCACACTGAAAGACACCTGTGCCAGATCCAAGTGCCAGCGAAGCTACGTAGCCACCGTAGGACTGGAAAAAAGAAGAGGGAAGTTAATACACTGCTGTAAAGCTCTTGCTCTCTAAGAATCCAAGTAGTAAAATGTAGAAGCCAAGGAAAGTATTTGTTTTGGCAGCCAAGGCTTCTCCTGAATCATTCTCTGCCAAGCAGATGACCAAACAGAGCCTGGCACAAGATCTCTCACTTCTCATTTACACAGTATCTTTATGGATTTGATTCACTGGTGCAACTATCTATACCTATATATTTTATAACAGGGCTGGACAACTGAAAACAGGCCAGGGGCCATTTTTCCTTCTTGTGTCCATCTGGGTAGGCCATGGTGGCCCATTTCAGTGATGTAATTTTGGTTGATATTTCAGCAAGATTTTGGCATAGGTGGTGGGGAGGCTGATAAAGGTTAGGGAAGAGAACTTTCATCTTTTTATGAGGTTTTGGGAGATTTGGGGGGAAAGTCACCTCAAAATACGATTGGAAAAATAATTGGGGGGGGGGGGGGGGGGGGTCTGATGGGTAGGAACTTCTGGGAAAGTTTCATTTAGGGATCTCAAGTGGTCTCACGTGGGGCACACTTTGTCCGCTATAGTTTTATAACAATGCCTCTCTCAATAACAGTGAGAAGCATAATTTTATAAGAGAAAAGCTGCAACAAACCAGTTTTCTATTTTCTGTTGTAATACTAGAAGCCAGAGCCACCCACTGCAAAATGTAGGACAGGTGCAAGAAAGTACTTTTCTACAATGGGCACAATTAAACAAAGAAATACACTTTATGGATTATATACCCTTCAACTGTCCTTATTTGGGAGGGAATGTCCAAATTAATTTCCTGCTATCCCACTTTTCCATCTGCTTTTGAAAATGTCCCAGTTTATCTCTCTCTTCCTACCTCATTCTATGATTCTCTCTTCAGCTTACTGAAATTGTTGCAAACTGAGTTCAAAATGCAAAAGCAGGGGACTATGGATCCTGCCCTTCCTGTTGCAGGCAGCTACTCCTATTATTTATTTATTTACTATATTTATACCCCACCCTCTCTCACCCCGATGGGGACTTAGAGCATCTTACAAGTAGGCAACAATTCAATGCCTCATAAACAGACACACAAATAAAATAAACATATACATTAAAAACCATAACATTAAAAAAAAAATCTAAACATTAAAACCAATTATTAAAACCATACAATCCAAAATCATAGTCCAGGAGCCATTACAGTCACACCTGCACTTATTCCATATCCACTTATTGCATTGAGATTACTGTCTAAAGGCTTGGTCCCACAGCCAAGTTTTTAATTTCTTTCTAAATTTCAGGAGGAAGAGAGCTGATCTGATTTTGCTGAGGAGGGGCTTCCACAGCTGAGGGGCCACCTCTGAGAAGAACCTGTCTCTTGTCCCCACCAACTGCCACCTGCGAAGGAGGTGGGACCAAGAGCAGGGTCTCCCCAGAAGATCTTAACCTTCTAGCCTGTGTGTTCTTCCTCATAAATAACTTAAGCCATCCTAACCACACTTTGGTTTTGCTTGGCCACACATATCCCAGTTTTCATTTGTGGCTAGTTCTAAATAGGAATTAGATGGACTGACTAGTTTTTATATGAAGCCCCCCAGAGAAGCCGAGTACAGTAGTATGTTTTGGGGGGGGGGGCAGAAATGTACCATTGCACTCTATTCCATTTGCTGGCTTACTTGAAACATCTGGTTGGTCCCTGAGGTAACATAATGTTGACATAAATAGGTTTTTGATCCAAAGCAGTGTAATTTCCATGGGGTTGTTAAATCTTCCCCATTTACCTATGTGGAGTCAGGTCCAGGGGCAGCACCAGTGGATGGGAAGCCCTGAAGATGTCTTTGTAATATCTTTTTAGTGGCAGATATACAGACAGAGCACAGACTAGCAGGTGACTACTTTTTGGCATCATGTGTGTGTGTTAGGGGGAGAAGGTTGTTTTAGATCCTTAGGAACCTATTGAGATTGTAGTGCTGCTGGGTTTGCTGCTCTCAGTCCAAGTTCCCTGCCACCCTTGCAGTTGTCACAGGAATTCAATGGCAACCGCAGAAGCTCCCTCTTGCACAAGCGGCTTTCTCCAATAGCTAGCTTAAGTTGGTACTTATGCTGGCTGTGGACAAGGTGCAAACTCTCAGCCCACTGAAAGGATTAACATTTTCTCTTACATAAACACTGAAAAGCCAGGGCTGCCCTGAGATGTCAGGCTGCAACTTCCAGCTCTCATGACTACTGGACAGGGCTTCTGAAAAGTGTAGACCTACAGCATCTAAAGGGCAACAGGATTGTCACCCGGATGTGTGAGCAAACAGCAACAAAGCACCAGCTGCTAAGGGGTCCACCCCACTGACAACATACTACTTGGCTTCTCAGCAAGTGCCATCTCAGTAGGAGCCCAGCCAATAAATCACATAGGCATTGACAAGATGCTGGCATGTCATCTCTAAATAAAGACTTGGATCATGAGCGTACAGTGCCTTTGCTCACAGACCTCAAGGCATGTAATGGAACAAGCACCACGCATCCCACACAGTTATGCAATCCCTCATTGCTTGATCCCACCCACCCTCCCGAAAGGTTTAGCTGCCTGTCATCAGCACTCCTGGGTGGGGCGCTCTCTGGCTCTCCCACTTGTTGTCTGCATGTCCTGTCCTAGTGTAACCTAAACAGAGAGGAACTGGGAAGGAATTGAAGTTCATAGATGGAAGAGCAGACATGAGGGAGATAGTGTCTTAGCAAAGCTGGGGTGGAGTAGAGCGTGACAATAAGAGAAGGCAATGAGCAACACGGGATGGCTTGAAGGAAAATGAACTTCTAGTCTATCACTAGAGGTTTGAATTAGGGTCACTGAATTCTGCCAAAAGATAGTGTTAATTGGCTTCCCAGGATGTTTTGTTATTCACAGCAGTTTTTGTGCATAGCTAGTGTTAATATTCATTTATTTACTTTATTGATACCCTGCCTTTCTCACCCCACAGGGAACTTAAAGCGGCTTAAAAACTCGGCAATATTGTCCAAACTTCTTCCATTTAATTTCTTTCTGATCCACTGTCTACAATTACACTACAAACCAGATGTATAACTATGTATAGGTAAATAATGCTTCATGCATCTGATGAAGAGAGCTACAGTCCATGAAAGTTCACATTTAATATATAGTAGTTTATTTTTAAAGCACAATGTTATTTTATGTATTTTATTCTGTGTTATAAATGAACACTTTATAAACTGGGAAAGTGAAGAAGTGATAGAGATAAAATGTGTCTACAGACTTCTGGAAATCACAATAACTGACATATCAGAATAGAGAAAGATAAAATCTATCAGCTGTTGTTTCTAAATGCAATACAATATACAGGTGGTTATATTAAGTGGATATAATCAGAAAATCATGTATCAGAAATGAAGAAGTGCATACAGCACAGGCAAAAGGCAAAATGCCAAAGCTTGGCAGCCTTCAAAATCATTTTAAATTTCACCATGTAACTAGTAGGAGGCTGTGAAAAACAGTTCCTACTTTACCAGGAGATTTAACAAGCAGAAGTCAGAGCCTGAGTCTGAAAAATTTAACAACCTTTATCTTTAAAAAGAAAACAAATGTTCCCCAAGCACTTTTGCTTGCAACAGTAAAATGTATGTATGGAAACAACAGCATTAACCCCACAATATGAATTGGTGTGATTTTGTCTTTACAAGTCAAGGGATAATCTAGTTTCTGCAGAATCTGGACTATGGTTCCCAGATTTGCCAAGCTAACGTAACCAATCACCATGTTGCCTGGAGGATTCTGGTAGCTGAAGCCCAAAATAATTGTTCCAAGCTCTGCTTAGATCGGAACTTTCCAAACGATATATCTTAACACACTAGTGCGTTGGCTGAATTTAATGAGAAATGACAACAATTTTGGAAATGTCTGTCATTATTATATATATTTTTCAAGTAATATATTGTGACTCGATTCATTTCGTTATTATAGCCACTAGTGGAACAATGGGTTAAACCCTTGTGCCAGCAGGACTGCTGACCGACAGGTCAGTGAGTCAAATCCAGGGAGAGCGAATGAGCTCCCTCTGTCAGCTCCAGCTCCCTATGCAGTGACATAAGAGAAGCCTCCCACAAGGATGATAAAACAGCAAACATCCAGGTGTCCTCTGGGCAACATCCTTGCAAATAGCCAATTGTCTCACACCAGAAACGACTTACAGTTTTTCAAGTTGCTCCTGACATGAAAAAAATTAGTCATTACAATGTGTGTGTGTGTGTGTGTGTGTCCTCATTTCTTATAAGGGCTTGGTTTGACCTCTGGTTTGCTAGTAAAACTGAATTACTGTGTCATGAAACGATGCATGGCTAAAAAGTCACTAACATGAAATGTTTGAAAAGCTCTGGCTTAGACTATTAAAACTTGAAGAGTTTTCTTTGCCATTGGCCACAAATCCAAAAACCTCAAGAAATCAAGAAAAAAGAGGGAAAGGCGGTCACCATCCAAACTGCCATATCAGTTATAAGAGGCTGATTTGTTTTGGAAGTTTATGATACCTGCTATATGTTCTTGGGACTTAGCAATTTGGGTGTGCACAAACACACACCCTTTCCCAGATATTAAGCCTAATAATCCAAATGTCTTACAAATGACATAATTTAATCACATCCTGATGTATCCTTGTGGACATAGTTATGTCACCTTTGGACAATAGCCAAATACCTTTATTTCTTAAAAAGAAATGTGTTAATGCAAGAAATTGGCACCAAAACATTAGGCTGATCTCTGAAACCGACTATATAGCATTCCGTTTTGAACATGTTCATTTTAAAAAAAAATCTCTCCATTGTGTTTCTGGGCAAACTGCTCTTAGGGAATTTCAGGCCAAAGCAGAACACAGCAATAAAAAAGGGGGAGTGACAGACTAAAGGAAAATTTCCCAGAAAAACAACACCATCAGCTGAAGAGCAAGCGAGAATTAAACTCTTCTTGAGAGATAATCAATCAAAGGCAAAGTAACATTTACAAACAAACCAAAACTGGGCACGATCAAATTGACTGCTGGCTTGTATCCCAGTGAATCTGCAAGCTCTCTAGTTACTCTGATCATCCTGTGGAGCTACTGTTCATCCTACGCTTTTACTCATATAGGATCTTGCTATACTGAAGATACACATGGAAAAAACTAATGCAATTCACACTGAAAGGAAGGCGGATGCTGAAGCAGTGGAAATGGGATTGCCTCCAGAAAAATGATTCAGCTATTTATGTCCATTTTAACACACACACACACACACACACACACACATTAGTCATGTATGAACATGTGGAAACCTAATGAAGTAAGTTTTTTAAAAAAAAAAAACTATACATACCCAGCCCCATATGGCTATCCTTTTTTCATCAATGAACCCCATGTCTATAAATTTTCTGTTGGGAATAATAAAAAAGAGTCTCATTAGTACAAATAGACAACAAGCAATAGAAAAAAGAAGTGATAAATATTCCTATTGTCACTCCTGCAATTGTTTTGTGGCTGTAGCAAGAATGTAATTTTAATATAAAGAAATGAAATTTGATTAGTCACTACACAGCTAGTAAATGCAAATAATTAAAATGAGGTTTTGAGACTGGCCCCTTCCACACAGCTGAAAAAACCCTCACATTTTCTGCTTTGAACTGGAATATATGGAAGTGTGGACTCAGATAACCCAGTTCAAAGCAGATATTATGAATTTTCTGCCGATATTCTGGGTTATATGGCTGTGTGGAAGGGCCCTAAGCAAAGAACAATGTCACAGAACCATAGTATGATTATATGTACAACTTAAAAGCAATCAATGATACAGCACTGTACTTTCATCCCATGCCCTGTTCCTTAGCTATAATCCCATTCCCTTGTCTTGTTTACAGTTTGGCCATGTCTTACGGTAGTTGTCACCCTGGGTCATTGGGCGTTGTTCTGAGTTTTAAACTGTTGTTTTTATATGCTATTGTTTTTACATTATTGTATTGTACTGTGTGTTTATCTTATGCTTTGTCTCAGCATGTTGTGCCATATGTAAGCCACCCTAAGTCCCTTTGGGGAGATGGAGGCGGGGTACAAAAATAAACTTCTTATTATTATTATAGTTTCCTTTGCTGGCTTTAAGAGGAGACTAAAAGTTTCACCTTTTTATTTTAATTACAGAAAATTCCTTGCTTTAAGCCTGAGATCAAATAAGTTAAACTCAAACATGGTTTATTATCCTAGCTTGTTAACTATGCATGGTTTTCAACTAACCAAAGTTTCACAAGTTCTCCATAACTGGGAATTCTGTGAAATATGTATTATGTGTGCTTTTTAGGTTAAAACTGACTGACTGCCCCTAGGACAACGAAGACTTAAACCGGCGACTGTTGATTGTTGAACGTTTTATACTGTTTTTATATTGTTTTATACTGTTTTATATTGTTCTATTGTTCTATTGTTATTTAAATTGCATATTTATGTTTTTGGTTGTGGGCATCATGGGGTGCTGTTTTGTTAGCTGCCCTGAGTCCCTCTGCGGAGGTCGGGATAGGACGGGATACAAATATCCGAAATGAATAAATAAAAAAATGTTTAACCTAAACAACTGAAAAAGGAGGAGAAAGATGTGATAACGAAAGTATTAACAACTCAAGACTGCTTTTGGCAAGGAATTGGAAAAGGGAAATAATTATACAAATAGAAGAGTGGTATAAGGAAGTATGTAAATTGGCAATAAATGGTAAGCTAACATGTAAACAATTGGATATGACTGATTTTAGTGTTTGTGTATATTATAGTTTGTTTTATGTTATGGCATTGAATGTCTGCTGTATATATGTTGTGCTCTGCCCTGTGAGAAGGGTGGAATATAAATGCTTTAAGTAAATAAATAATATATGTAAACTAAAAGTTAAAAGAGGTATCTGAAAACAAAGTGATTTTGATAATATATGGAAAAAAATATTGAAATAGGATTTATAGAAGGAAGACAGAAAGTTACCTCCACAAGAGGAAATGAAATTTTGGACAGATGATATATAAAAGTAGTGGCTCTGTGTGGAGGGGAACATGGTGGTGAGGGATAGAAAATATGTATAAGCGTGAAAGTAACAGTAGATGCCAAATTTAATATATTGTAGATTGTACTGAATATTATGTGTCTGCTGTAAAACAAATGATGTATAACAAATGTATTGGAATATGATAAAAAAAATTTATAATACATCACAAATATTTTCTAAGATGAAATAGATACAACAGTGTTTACTGTTTTAAAAAAATCACATATTTGTTTTAATTTTCAGTTTGATGTAAAAACAAGGTGGTGTAAACTTATGAATGGGCCCATATGAAATTGCCACGGAGCAGAAATAGGATAATCTGCCCACCCACCCTGAGTACCTCCTGCTGTCTGTGGACACTTCAGAGAAATAAAAATGAACTGGCAAGTTTTATGGTTACTATAACACAAATAGTCCTGCTGTTCGGTTGTACAAAAAGAAAGGTAAATAAGTGACCATGATAAGAAGGTGAAAACTGTAAAATATCTAATCCATGCCAATCTCATTCTAGGCAACCTCATTCCCGATACAAGGGGGAAATGGAAGAGTCAATAAGCAGGAACAGAATGGGTGAGATAAGAGGGGAGCTGTATAGATCTAATGCTATCAAGTGCGTGGAGCACAGGTGTGGAGCACAGGCTGTATTTGTGACTCTGCCATTCAGAAACAACTCTCCATTATTTGGAGGTAACCCCTACTTAATTTTTTAAAAAATCCCTGTGTACCAATTATTACCCACATGTGGAGGATCAAACTCATTTCCTTTCTAATGTATAATCTCCTGTACAGACTGTGGATTAGACAGACAAATTTGCACAGTGTTTTCTGTTACTGTCAACTCCCATGAATCAAACTGAAAACATGAGGGGTAAAACACTTAAAGACTGAACAGGATAGAAATATCGAACCTTCATTATATATATAAAAACACACACACATACACACACACACACACAGTGGGTGAACATATGCTGAGAAGAGTTTGATCCCAAAACTAATGATTTGATATAAAAACATCAGAGGACATACAAAAAAACTGTGTAATACAGATTGAAGTTGAATTAAAATGAAAGCAAATGAGAACAATGCAGACCACATTTTTTAAAAGGAAGGAAGGAAAGGAAGGGAAGTTGTTAACTGAAACAGATTTGAGGAAGGAATCCCATCTAGGCAAAATACTTGCTGCAATTCTACATTTTGACTACAAAAAAACAACATGCTTTACACCTTACAGCACTGAAACTGCAAGGCTCCTGAAACCTGCTCAAAAACATTTTGATGGTTTCATCACATCCAATGCAATTTGTCAAAATTGTTTATACTTTTGCATCCCCATGCAAGAGACCAATTACACTATGTAGCATGATTTTTGTTCCTGGGTTATAAATGTCATTTTCTATTTGGCTCTATCATTTAAAAAAAAACATGGGAAAGGTTTATTAAACAGCAAAAACTTTGTTATTGGGGAACATCCTGCAGCACATTTTGCTATAGCTTTTCAATGAATATCTCATAGAGTCTCAACCAATTCAACATAGTTTGTGGAAGCCACAAAAACAAAGTTTCTGGAGTATAACAACCATTTTCAAAGTAAGTACCACACAATTAAACAAGAAACAACACTTTCAAACCAGGAACAGACAATTTTTCAGATTTTGTTACAGAGTGTAATCTGAAGAATGAAAAACTCACATATGGATGATGGTTAATCGAACTAAATTACAAAGTTTGCTTTGCAAATTCTGATATTACATCATTTTTTCCTTGCATGAGTATTAGATAACTGGTCATATTTTTCAAAAATCATGAAGATATGATTACTCATTTTACTGAACATGTAATATTTATTGGGCAACAACAGTAATATTGTCTCTGTAGAGACCACAAAAGTCCCATGGCCCTACAGAAGTCCTAAAATTTATTCCACATAACTGTCCTTCGAATCTTTCTTACCTTACAGCTGAGATCTGATCCTCAACTTCATAAACACCAAGTTTTTTATAGACTGCATGCATCATTTTATCTCCTTGGAAAGCTGTTCCTCTGCCATCTACAAGAGCTACCACCATCTCTTCTTTGCTTGCAAGATAGGTTAGCCAGGTAACACCAAATGTGTGTTTCACATTTTGACTGCAAGGTCCTGCATACCTACAGCAAAGATTTGTGGCATTTCAGTTTCAGCATTGTGATGACAAAAAACTTTCTCTAAATAGCAAAAGTGGGCAAAAGTTTAATAAATGCAGTTAGCTTCACATGTTTTCAGGCCCTAAAACAAGAGGAATGTGAAATCACTGGATTTCAATGTCATACCTGTTAAGACTGTATCAGGGAAATCTCTGGGAGAAATAAACATGGATTGGATTTTTCAAGTTACTTTTTAAAGTCTACTAAAATGTATAGGTTTGGACTATATTTTTTTCTTTTTCTCTTATGAATGAGAAATATCAAACTTTTTCCCGCCTTCGTGCATTTTGGAATTTTGGGTGAAAATTTCATGATGGCTTATGTCCCAAAGAATTGTTATTGTTTGAGCAAAATATAATGTCTGTAAAAACCACTCTGTTGTGCAAAACTACTTTTCTGATACGGAATATCCTGGCTGGCAACCTGTTTGATAATTATGATGTCATAAGTCTTGCTTATTTCATTTCAATAATTCTTAATGGTTGTTCTGCATGCAACCTCCCCCCCAAAAAATCACAACATTTTCATCAAAAACATATACCAAAAATGTAAATGAAATTGTTTGAGGATTTTCCCTACAGGATGTTTTGACATGTTAAAATACTTATTCTCACTAAGGGTGAGAAAACGTAAATATTCTTTTCATCTCAGTGATATACCCACACCCACATGTACATTCCAAATTTCTAAACAGCTCCATTGAACAAAGTGTAGCTTGTTTCCAAGGAAACAGGCTCAAGATTATACTGTTCAGCAAAAGTGTTGCCTTTTCCACTCCATGGTAAGAGTTTATGCTTTTTGTCTATTAGCTGAAAGTTCTTCCAAGGTGCATCAAAACTGTAGAATGTATGCAGTTTGACACCACTTTGACTGTCACTGATTGATGCTATGGCATTATGGGAATTTTAGTTTGGTTAGACATCAGCACTATTTGGTAGAAAAGGGTAAAGACTTTGTAAAATGACAACTCCCATGATTCCATCACCTTAGGCCATGGCAGTTATAGTAGTGTCCAACTACATTCATTCTACAATGTAGACGCCCCCCTAGCGACATCTACAACCAGAACATCCAAACTTAAAGTTGTGAGTAGCTCTTCAAGTTCAGAATATAGCATCCAATGCAGACAGAAGTTAAAACTTAGGTCTAACTACATTGACTACATAATCTTATTCTTACCAAGGTTAAATGTATATCCACAATTACTAGGGTTTCCAGATTATAAATACAAATACTTTGTTTATGAGTGTTCTTTTGGTACTGCTGTTGGAGAGTGGTCCCTGGTCAAAGTGGTCCCTGGTCAAGTAAGCCCTGGTCAAAGTGGGCTCTGGTCAAGTAAGCCCTGGTCAAGGTGGGCGCTGGTCAAAAAAAGGTTGCGAACCACTGTGCTAGAAAAGGTAACTCTTCGTCTACTGCTACTACACAGCCACTGAAGCATTTGACAATGTTTGAAGTGGCACCAGACAAAGTAAGCTTTAAAAACTAAAGAAAAGTTTACATACACCTGTATGAGAAGAGGATACTTCTTGGATTTATCAAACCGTGGAGGCAAAAGCATCTTGTACCATAAAGCTAAAAAGAAAAAGAATGAGAATGAGATTACATTTGGTAGCATTCTCCCATTGATGGAATAACAGAATGAGATGGGACGAACTCACTCCATTTTCTCTTCACCCTCAAAAACTGCTCAAGAGGATGCAAGGATCTCTCTATTCACCCAACAGGACTGAGGAAGGCAAAGAGTTTCAGGAGGAAGAAGAGAACAGAAAAGTCCAGCTGCATGAATGGAAGGCCACACATATAGCACTGGATTTCCCCCTAAATGAAGTAATAGATGCCAGAGATGAGAGCATCATATTACTAGAATTGGCTCTTGAAAGAGAATGCAGGTGGCTGAATGTCACGCTCGCATAATTCATGAGCTAAGAGTTTGTAGTTTGGCGAGGCACCAACACTCTTTGGCAAAGAAGGCCAAAGAAATACCACAAAGATTCCATAGCATCGAGCCATGGAGGCTTAAGTGGTGTCAAGCTGCATTAGTTCTACAGTGTAGATGTACCGTGAGGAGATATTCTAGTCTCATGATAATTTAGGTTTTTTTTTTCTGCCCCTTCACTAACTTTGCAATATCCTTCCAGAGTTAGATCAACAAATAGTCTAGACAGCAGTCCATCAATTGTAGGCATATGGAGGGTTTACCCTTGCCTTCTGATTGAATTATCCAATCCCTTCTCCAAATGACAATTTTATCTGGCAATTGTCTATTTGACCCTAAAACTATTACTACAACAATCAAAGATAATCTTTAAAAGCCAAAACAGAAATTGAATAATTTTGAAATGTTGCTTTTTTCATGTCAGGAGCAACTTGTGAAACTGCAAGTCGCTTCTGGTGTGAGAGAATTGGCCATCTGCAAGGACATTGCCCAGAGGATGCCTGGATATTTTACCATTCTGTGTGAGGTTTCTCTCATGCCCCGCATGAGAAGCTGTAGCTGAAAGAMGGAAGCTCACTCTGCTCYCCGGATTCCAACCACCGATATTTTGGTCAGCAGTTCAGCCACTGGGGGTGCTAAATGTTGCTAAAACTATGCTCTCCATACAGTGACCCTTTCATATTATTACAATCTTGCAGGAAGACAGCCATTTATTCAGGACGTTATTGACCATACAATATGCTTTTTGAATGACTTAGGTCTCACACATCCTTTTTCATAACATAGTGGAAGTAGGGGAATTTACACTTTACTGTACTTACTAATACCATCTACTTCAAACTTGTCAATTTTCAAYGTAGGCATTCTGATTTTTTGCAGTGCAGTGTCCAGATCCCTGTTGTCTTCCAAAACTTTGATCTCTGTATTTTGAAAATATATACATATATTCTAGATTAGCAGTCTCTCACTGATTCTTATCAGTTGTCATCTGATAATTCCATGATGAACCACAGAGGAAGGAAAAAATGACAACAGTATACAAATACCAAAGAAATGGGTGGTTTTTAACAGTAACAGGATGTTCTTGTATGTGTAAGTAAAGATAAGAAATTATTTTCTTGGGTTAAACTTTCTTGGAATTATGATAGAGTTCACTGCTGAATTGGAATAAAACTTGTTGACCATGTACTTATTTATTTGAAACCTTGTATGATGTATGGAAGACTTCAGAAAGGGGAGAGGACTTTAAAATATATCCTCAAATTTAGTTCTGTGAGGGTTTAGCACTTAACCCACCACTTTTCCACCAGATCGTGAGGCTTTGCCTCAACCTCCACTGCCACACATGTGAAGACTCCCACACAGCTCACTATTTTCATCAACAGTAAGGGCATTCCCATGTCTCCACACATGCCACCACTGGAAATAACTCTTCCTGACCTACTGCTGTGGCCATCCACTTTGACAACCTGCTAGACAGGGCTGTCCTAACAGCATTAGAGGCCCCTGGACAAAGAAGCCACTCACAGGAATAAAAAGAAGGGAGGAGGAAGAAGGGGGGCCCCTACTCAACCCCCCCCCCAATTGAAGGAAAAGGAGTACTTTCCTCTTTCTTTGCTAACAGTGCCAAATGCGCCCTGCTTTGCACATGGCATAACACACCCCACACCCTCTTTTAATGTCCCCACCACATCTGTGAAAGAGAATGAGGAGGGAGGGGAAGATATGAAAAAACAAGAATGAAAGCAAAGTATGTCTTTATTGCAGACAATTAAAACGGTAAAGTTTCTCACATGAATGCCGACACGCCAACTCTCTGCTACAAGTTGTAATTTTTCTCCTTTCTGGGTTGCTTTGAGTTTTTTGGGCTGTATGTCCATATTCCAGAAGCAATCTCTCCTGATGTTTTACCCACATCTATGGCAGGCATTCTCTGAATAAAGGGGTCTGCTGGAAAATAGTCAGGTTGATAAATCTGTGGAATGTCCAGGGTGGGAGAAAGAACTCTTGTCTGCTTGAGGCAGGTACAAATATTGTAAGTGTTTAAAAAACTCTAAAATCAGGACAGTAAATAAAGAGCAACATTCAAAATCAGGGAAATTCCAGACAAGAAACAATAAGGGCCAGCTAACACCTCCCAACAAAGGATCCCCAGGCAGCAACCAGCCAGGCTTTGAAGCTGCAAGGCCATTCAATGCTAATTAAGGTGACTAATTGCAACATTCACACTTGTCTCAAGTAGGCAAGGGTTCTTTCTCCCACCCCAGATATTCCACAGATATATAAACCTCACTTGTCTAGATTCCAACAGACCTCTCAACCTCTGAGGATGCCTGCCATAGATGTGGGTGAAACCTCAGGAGAGAATGCTTCTGGAACATGGCCATAAAGCCTGGAAAACACACAACAACCCAGTAATTCTGACCATGAAAGCCTTCAACAAAACATTTTCTCTTTCTATCGAATTAACAGCAGATTTGAATGATGAGATAGATGACTGGCAAAGTGGTGTTGAATTTTGGTCTGTACATAACTTAGTATGGGGTCCACATACTTGTTGGACCCCCAGGCAACTGCACAGCTTGCCCATGCATTAAGATAGCACTGCTGATAGATGCTGTCAAGGTACCTGTGTGATAATATGCAAATTTTATACCCAACCTCTTTAATTACTACTCTCACCAGCTTTCTAATATATAACATTCCCAAAGGTGAAAAGCACATAAATATAAAAAAACATTTTTATTAACCAAAGTTGAACATAACAAGAGATAAATCATAGGCAGGCTAAATTTAGCATCTTGAAAACTTTCAAAAATGTATGCTAGCTTTATTGGAATTTGGTATTCTAAATGCAAAAATAACCTCAGATTTGCTCTATCACATCCATTTTTTTCACAATTTGATATGCTATTTTTTATTTTGTAATATACGACTGAGTGACTTTTCTTCAGGAAATAAATTGCAAAGGTTTTCTAATAGACTTTCAAAACTTTTTAGTTTGCTGGTATGAAAGGCAACAATATCTTCATAAACATTAAAGAAGCCACTGCAGTCTGCAGTGAATTAAAATTGACTAACAACTGAATTGATAAAAAAACCCACTGAAATGGTAAAAAAGAAGTATGACAAATTCAGTACCCTAGGAAAACATCCTTTGGGAGGCAGAGAATTCTTATTTGGAGGGAACCTTGTTGATTTTTCTACAATGTACAATTGTTGGACCTGAACAAGCACCACATATTCCAAACAGAAACAACAATGCACATATTAAAGCACTTACATCTAAGCAAGAGCTTAAAAACAGATTTTTTTTAACCATGTTTCATTTAGGGAAACCACTTCCTGGTGATGAAATAGCAAAAAGATTTCCAGCATAGTGATCAACAGGAAATGCCTGCAATCTTACAAAAGAGTCTGTTCTTATGAAAAATGAATTGACTTAGTTTTGCAGAGGGGTCATATCAGACCGATCCAGTCTAAATGCAAATAAATAAATAATTCTCACCTCTTATCTATGCTCTTCAAAAAGGCTAAGGCAAATAAGTAAGTAACTGAGATAAAACAGTGGATCTTTTTTCCCTCTTGCAGCAAAAACAACCAAATATCTTGCAGGATCATACGGATTAAGGAATGGTTTATGGTGTAAACTCTGAGGCCATAATCTGTTTGCGTCATCAACTGCAGGAATGACCATGCATACAGACTATTTCAACAATTATTATTATCTCTCCTGCCCGATCTCCTCTTGGGGACTCAGGGTGGTTCACAACAAAACAACGGCAAACATTCAATGCCATAAAGTGCAATCAGAAGCAAAAACAACCATAAGTTAAATGAACATATTAAGCATCAACATCAAGCAATAATGAAACATTACAACAAACAAGCACTACATAACTAAAATAAAGTCATAACAAGTAAACATTTAGAGACAAGACTTAAAATTGGGACTAATAAAAATTAAACATAGAATTTAAAAACTAGAGTAATAAGACATTTCCATTTCAGAATAAGCCAATTCAGAAGCCAATTCAGAATACTATTGTATACAATTGGTACCATATGAAGAACTAATCCAGGGAGTGATCCAAACCATATCTTTCATGTGCAAGTTGCCCCCTCACCATGAGTTATTGAGAGTGGGGTGCACTGGGAGGGGGGTGGGGGGGTGGACACTGGATGTCCAACAGCATACGGTAACAACATAAAAAGGCTACGTATTTTGCACTCCTGTTCTAGGTCTTTTTTGGTCATTATTTTTCCATAGAGCAAATGGATTTGGGGTGAGGGGACTCTTGTGTGGAATTTTGCCATCCCTGCATGTTCAGAACATAAGTCTGAAAAAAAGGCTTCTCTACATATCATCCCTGAACATTTCATGGATGAAAGTTGGGCAATTTGCCCTTTGAACTAAGGCCCCTTCTACACTGCCATACAAAATCCAGATTATGTACTCTGAACTGGAGTATATGGTAGTGTAAATTCATATAATCCAGTTCAAAGCAGATAATGTGGATTATCCACTTTGATAATCTGGATTATGTGGCAGTGTAGAAGGGGTCTAAATTTGCAGTAACTGCAGTAAGATAGAAATAAGGGGGAAATGGAGGGGGAAGGAGAAAAACTGGAAGATGTTAAAAGCAACTGGGAAAAAAATAGAATGAGAGGCTTAATTGGGAATGTCCCTACCAAATCAGGACAGTTGGAAGTTATGTGTCATATATATTCATTAGGGCTGGGCAACCACGGAAAAAATTGTTTCTAAATTCGATTCGTTTTTAGGGGTTTTTTGCGTTTCGTTTTTAAAAGAATTCCGAAATTTTTCTTTAAAAAAGTTCGATATTTACGAAATTTCAGAAATTACGAAACAATTTTGAAACAATAACGAATCGATTCGTTAATGGCGGACGCGATTGCGCAATACGCTAAAAAACCCCCAAATGGGACAGGGGGAACTTCTGAAGCTTCCCTCTCCCTCTGTTGTTGACTGTTGGTGTGATAATTTATTTTTTTCTACTGATAAAACAAACAACAACCATAAAACTTGCACCAGACATACGGAAATAATAACGAAATAATAACGAAACAATTTCGAAACAATTACGAAACAATTACGAAATAAATTTTAAAAATTCGTTTCGATTTTTAGTTGCTCCTGAATGGTTCAATATCGCTTCGTTATAAAAAAAAATAACGAATTAATAACGAATTACGAAATTAACGAACGAAACCGCCCAGCCCTAATATTCATGTATCCACCTCCTGTATAAATCCAGGACAAATGTTATGGCCCAAATTATGGATTTTGATAGGACCCAAGGATAAGTCGAAGGGGTAAGCACTAAGATGGCTGCAATCTCTGGCTGGCACCATCACTTTTTCACCCAGGAATTGTTCAGAAGTCTGATCCTCTAACCCTGTGTGAATGTATGTGTCTTCAATTCACTTGTCAATTTATAACAACCCCATGAATTTTACTGGGTTTTCTTAGGCAATGGATAGTCAAATGTGGTTTTGCAAGTTTCTTCTTCTGGAGTATAACCTGCAACTTCCATCCAAGTACTGACCAGAGCAGATGTTCCTTAGCTTCCAGGATTTGAGACAATCTGGTGCCTTTATGATATTTAGGCATATCTACACTCTCTTATAGTCCTTAGTAGTGCAGTGGGTTAAACTGCTGAGCTGCTGAACTTGCTGACTGAAAGGTCAGCGGTTCAAATTTGAGGAGTGAGGTGAGATCCCACTGTTAGCCCCAGCTCCTGCCAACCTAGCAGTTTGAAAACATGCAAATGTGAGTATATCAATAAGTACCATTCCAGCAGGAAGGTAACGGTGCTCCATGCAGTCATGCCAGCCACATGACCTTGGAGGCACCTACGGACAACGCCGGCTCTTCAGCTTAGAAATGGAGATGAGCACCAACCCCCAGAGTTCAACATGACTAGACTTAATGTCAAAGGGAAACCTTTACCTTTATAACTTTTTACCTGAATGTAAACTTCATTGAATGCAAAAAATCTAAGTTCTATTTAGGGGAGGTACTTTGATGTCATTTCCATTCCTGGAGACTTAGAGCCTTACAGCTTTTAAGAAGATAAAGAAATATACATAGTAAAAATACCTCGGTCATATCTGTTTTCATAAATAGTAGAAATAGGCATCCCTGGACCTGGAAGACAAAATAGACAGAAAAAAAACAAAAATTAAGTAATTTATAATGTAAAGCAACACAGTGAAACATACAGTTCTTACTGAAAAGAATTTGAATTTGTTTGATTAGATAAATTGTCCCTAGATCTAGATGTTAGGGTGAAATACATCCTGCATAAGTCACAGTACACGGTTGCAAGGAGTGTGGAGCAAATGAATGAAGAGGCACCTGCAGCACACACTACTCAGAACTTCACAACCTATAATTCTTGAGTTCTCTAAGAAATGGAAGAATAAAAGATAAAACTTTGGAAGTGTTGGCTGTGCTTTTCCTTAGTAAGCTTTCAGGATCAAACAAAATGTGATGTTACTAGTATAAGCATAATTGAATTGACCTTTTTTGAAAAATAAATAAGGAAAAGTAGTAGCTAGGCTCAGGAAATTGGGATAAAAACATGATTTTCTACATATACACAAGTCTGGTGAAAACCTTTGCCCTTATTTTTTTTCCACTCAGAGGATGGCTCCATCAACATACGTGCAACCTTTAAGCCCCAAGGAAGGGTACATTTTCAAAATGACTTTACCAGTACAGAAAAGGACTATGTTTTCTGTATCAGGGTCTGATGATAATGCATCTGAAGCTACTGAAGCTACTGTCTGGGCTGGGGGGGGGGGGGGGGGGGGATTCACAACATTCACAACTATAGCCAGTTCTCCACATTCACTGGGGTTTATTGATTAACTGCTAATCATTTTAACTGTGGGGATACGTTTTACTGTTTATTGTTGGTTTTATCAGCATTGAATTCTTTCTAAAGTTGTAAGCCACCTTGAGTCCCCTTGAGTAAGAAAAACGAGGAATAATAATAATAATAATAATAATAATAATAATAATAATCCTTTATTTATACCATCTCCCGCAGGACTCGGTGTGGCTTACAAAAGGCCGAGCCCAAATACATCATAAAAAACATAACAACAACAATACAACAATAAATAACTCATAGCAAAGCAAAAAACAGCAAAAAACATGACGCATTTAAAAACCTGTGGCAGGGCCAAAAAAAATGGAGTAAGCAAGCAAACAAACAAATAAAGGGTACAGAGCCCCATGAAAGTAAAAAAAAAAAGCAAATAAAGAAATTACTAATTGTTTACCTGACAGAACACCTCTCTAGGTCTTCCAGCATGACTGTACAGTCAACTTCCACTGGAGGCTAATCACAGAAACGCATTGGAGGATCTTGAGATTCCTAGAGAAGTGTTCTCCCTAGATATCTCTAGGGCCCCTTCTACACAGCTGAATTAAATCCCCCATTATCTGCTTTGAACAGGCATATATGGCAGTGTGGACTCAGATAACTCTGTTCAAAGCAGATATTGTGGTATTTTCTGGGTTATATGGTTGTGTGGAAGGACTCTAAGTCTTCAAGCATGACTGGGTTGGGCATAAAGTCACACTGGAGGGTCTAGAGATTCCCAGGGAGAACATTTTAATCGAATTCTCTAATAATCAAATCCACAAAAGTCAAAACCACAAATATGGAGGGACGCCTGTACACAATTCACAATACAGAGAAAGGATTCCCTGAAGTGTAAGGACAATAGTGGCCTCTTGCTCTTGTACACAATTCACATCACACCGTATCAATTTTTTTTTACTTTCAGGTTGTGATTAATTCACTTACTTTCTCAAATAAAGCAATACCGTGGCTATATTAGCTCACAATAATAATTTTCCATTCCTTCTTTCTTCCCTTGTTTTTATTATTTTCTCATTTTAAATTGCAGGCACATTGAAGGAGGGGAAGATGGAAGAAGGAAGACTGTTTTGACCTTAACTCTGTAATTACTATGTCCATAGCTGATGGTGTTAACTAATGACACAATACATAGTAATATTGACTGAATTTAGCTGTCCTTATGGGTGTGTAATGCAGAGGACTCTGGAGGGGTAGATATGTCAGTAACATTGCTTTGGAAACCAAGAAATGTTCGCCTTTACATATCACAGAGTGATCTTTACTCTCATAGATGAAGTGAAGCCCAGGTGAGGGTTACATAACCTGCGCCTAGAATTAAGCATGCACAATGGGGTCTGGAAAAGTTGTCGTATTTCATTTCTCAAGGTGAACAGTTTCCTAGGTGATAACATCCTTGACCAGGATGATTGAAAGGTATTATCATTTATTTATGTCTGTTTCTTTGCTCAGTGGTGGGTCTATTATTTGCACGCATGAACATCCAGTACAAATCATAACACTTGATCAGAGACTAAAACAACTATTCCATCACTTGAAGGATACCAGAAAAAATAATGGCTAACAGAAGGATATTACCTTTGACCTTATGGACAGTTTCACAAGTCCCATACTTACTTATCAAACTGTACGCAACTAAATCTTAAGTGGACTGAATACTTTATTTATCAAACAAATATTTTAGTTCAATTTTGTGACAGCTTTAGATATTTTTTTGCTTGAATTAACCTATTAAAGTTTCATAGCAAAGACAATCTCCATGATCCCAAGCAACAAAAAGATGTATGGTTCATATCATTTTGAAATACTCTATGCTAAGAGCTGCTTGTTAATATAATAAATGGCTATTGTTTTATTTTTGCTTTGTGATTTGTTTTTGTTCTCTCTGATCAAGAAAGAGAGAACAAAACACTACACTAAAACATTATTGTAGTTTGATGCCGCTTCAACTCTATGGCTCAGTGCTATGGAATCCTAGGAGTTGTAGTTTTACAAGGTCTTTGACCTTCTTTGCCAAAGAGTGCTGGTGCCTCACCAAACTACAACTCCAGTGATTCCATAGCATTGAGCCATGGCAGTTTAATTGGCGTTGAACTGCATTAATTCTACAATGTAATTGCATATAGAACAATGGTTCCCAACCCGTGGGCTGAGGCCCACAGGTGGGCCACAAGACCCAAAAAAAGGTATGTGGCTGGGGATACATGGCAACATTGGAGGAGGGAGAGAGAGAAAGAGAGGGAGAGAAGGAAGGATGGAAACCAGTGCCATTGCCCTTGACCTCTCATGGCTTCCCTGATGCTGTTGGAGGAGAGCGAGAGAGAGAGACGAGGGAGAGAAGGAAAGAAGGAAGGAAGGAAGGAAGGAAGGAGGGAGGGAGGGAGGGAGGGAGGGAAGGAAGGAAGGAAGGAAGGAAGGAAGGAAGGAAGGAAGGAAGGAAGGAAGGAAGGAAGGGCTGTTGCCCTTGCCTCTCGTGGCTTCCCTGGCACCGCTGGAGGAGAGAGAGAGAGAGAGAAGGAGAGTCCCCCAAAGCTGTTGTTATTATTAGCTCCCATTGCCACACATCAGTTGTAATGGGAAAGCAGCCCTTTCTAAGACCCTGTTTACTCCCCCAAAGTTGTTATTGTCGTTACTATTATTATTATTATTATTATTATTATTATTATTATTATTATCTCCTATTCCCACACATCAGTTGTAATGGGAAAGCAGTCCTCTGTAAGACCCTGTTTAGTCCCCCAGTTGTTGTTGTTTTTGTTGTTGTTATTATTAAAGCCGTTAGAGACAGTTTCTTGAGTCTTGCACTCTGCTTTTTGTATTTTTTCAACCTCAGCCCCCTTCCTTTCTTTTTTTAACACGAGCATTAACAAAATCCATGGATAATAACACAGCCCAACCAAATTTCTTGTTCTTGGTCTCTTCATTTTTAGGCCTGTTCCTGGGGTTATTTGGAGTGCTGATTCAGAAAATTGCATTGGATAGACCACATCAGCTCTAGATTATTAAATACGGTTTTCTGTGGGTGAGCAGACGGTGTCTACTGAAATGCATATGTTCTGTATCAGAAACTAGAGCTGATGTGGTCTATCCAATGCAATTTTATGAATCAGCACTCCAAATGACCAAACCAAATCTAAAGTTGACCAAAAACTGATTCTTAACCCTTTTGGCACTAATCTTGGAGAGAATTTTGACTGGTCAAAGTGGTTCCCTGGTCAAACAAAGGTTGGGAACCACTGATCTAGAACAAATTTAAAGCCCTCCAAGTAACAGTGTGAAGTCCTTCTGCTTAAATAGCAACATAATCAATGTAATGATTATAAGCTTTTGAACTGAAGTCTAAACGCACTATCTTAAAATTTAAGAGCACATGTACTATCTGAAAATTTCCAATAAGGAATTTTGATTGTAATATTTTCTTTAAAACCCTTCTGGTGTAAGTAACAGAACCATTCTTAAATCCAACAGTTACTGGGCACAGTTAACAGAACCACATTTTAATGCTTTGAAGCAGAAATACCTAATGGGACCTTGAGGGTGCAAATAGCATTTTTTAAAAAAAATTTCAAGAGAATTGACATACCATAACAGATTAAAGCATAATAGTCGGCATTGTAACTAAATCTTGCTCCATAGTACTGGCATCTTTCTTTCCTTAAATTACAAGTGATGCACTGCTTTGTTACAGGATTTCGTCTAAGATCAATTCTGTAAGACAGAAGAACATTTTTTTAAAATACTTTTGTCTTTACCTGGAATGAGCAGGAGATAAAATACATGCAAAACTCTCATCCACATGTACGCATATATTATGCCAGAAAACTTGTGTGCATCACAAGCAATTCTTATATTGGGGTGGAAATAATGTGAACCTTTAGATATTACTGGGCTTCAAGTCACGGTAGTTCCAGTCAGTATTAACAATGACAAATAATGCTAGAAGTTGTAATTCAGCAACATCTGGGGAACTGTATGCCTCCCATCCGCCTTACAAGGTCATGCCTTCACAGTAGCAATATGTATATTGTCGTAAGCGTTTTGAAATATAGCTATAAAAAGACAAATCTAGAAGATGTTTAAAATGTATATTTTAATAATAAAAAGAGGATAAATTTGCCCTTCCAATCATAGGATCATCATCCAATATTTTTAACCAATGGTTATAGCCACATTTTACTGATTCTATGTAATAGAGTTTGCTTTTGTTAATTTTATATATATGGCTTTATGTAAATGTGTTATTGATTATATATGTTGATGTCTTGCATTTTATGTGTGTATGGCACCACTGTGTGCTATTTTGTAAGCTGCCCCGAGTCCCTACGGGAGATGGTGGCGGGGTATAAATAAAGTCATCATCATCATCATTATTATTATTAGATGTATAACAAGATTAGTACACAACAAACAAGATCACTATGCTGGCTGTTGTATTGGATCACACGTCGGACACTTCCCACATGTCTAGGACTGTGTGATGTATTGGCAAATAATACGTGCAGATCTGAGTAGAGTGGCCATTTGCAGTTGACAGATGGTAATTTTGTTAGCACCAATTGTATTAAAGTGCAGGCCAAGGTATTTAGGAACTGCACACAGTGTGCAGATCACCACTGGGACCACCTTTCCTGGCTTGTGCCAGAGTCTTTGCAGTTGGATCTTTAAATCCTTATTATTATTATTATTATTATTATTAGAAACACAACAAGATGAGTCCACAGAAAACAAGATCACTGTAAATCCTCATATTGTGTAAGCTTTGTCAGTTGCTTCTCGTCAATCCTGCTGTCGCCTGGGATTACAACATCGACGATCCATACTTGTTTTTCCCCCACGATCATGAGGTCAGGAGTATTGTGCTCCAAAACTCTGTCAGTCTGAATTCAGAAGTCCCAGAGTAGTTTGATGTATTCATTTTCTAAAACTTTTTCAGGCTTGTGATCCCATCAGTTCTTTGGGGCAGTCAGATGGTATTTGTGGCTCAAGTTCCAATGGATCATCTGAGCAACGGTGTTATGTCTCTGCTTGTAGTCCATCTGTACAACCTTCTTGCAGCAGCCGAGAATGTGAGCCATCGTTTCGTCTGCTTCCTTTCAGAGTCTACACTTGGAACCTGTCGTCAACTTTTCAATTCTGGCTTTGATGGCAATGGTTCTAATTTCCTGGTCTTAGGCTGTAAGAATCAGGCCCTCCATCTCCTTTTTCAAAGTTCCATTTTTGAGCCACATCCATGTTTTTTCCTTGTCAATTTTGTTCTCAAATTTTCCCAGGAATAATAATAATAATAACTGGACATCCTCAACAAACCACACCCTGATTTAAACATTTAGAAAATTGTTTGTGCAAATCCAAGAAATGTATTTATTTATTTTCACCAACTCTGGGCGAAAGATTGCTTACAGAAATTTAAACACCACAATAAATAACTGCAAATGGTTCCCTTCAAAATAGAATGATAACAGCTGTCAAAAACATCAAAAACTAAGGATAGATATTGTAAGAACTTAAACTTTAGACCAATCAGGACGGGCCTATAATTTTGGCTGGACACTTTGAGAGGTTGAAGTCCAATATAGTAATTTATTCTGCTTTGAGAACCTTCTGATGTGGTAACAACAGTGGAAGGGAGTAGCACCATTCTGGATGAGAAATACTGGCAGTTGTGGCTTCACAGAGAATTTGCAATACTCTGCAAACAACTGATGTAGGGGGAAGAAATAGATAGGGAGGAGAAGATAGGGACAACATTGACCTAACAATCAATCTGATCTCAAAACACACAGCACACCCAAGTTTGATATGCTGAATAGGATGTAATAAGAGAATGTTCCCATCTACACTGCCATATCATGCAGTTTCAGAATACAGTTTAACTGCATTGAGCTGGATTATGAGTCTACACTGCATTCTGAAACTGCATTATATGGTAGTGTAGATTCCAATGAATAATAGAATCATAGAATTGGAAGAGACCTTGTGGGCCATCGAGTCCAACCCCCTGCAAAGAAGCAAGAAAATCTAATTCAAAGCACCCCCAAGAGAAAGTCATCCAGAGAGTTCCACTGTTGAACAGGTCTCACAGTTGAGAAGTTCTTCTTAATGTTCAGGTGGAATCTCCTTTCCTGTAGTTTGAAGCCATTGTTCCGCGTCCTAGTCTCCAGGGCAGCAGAAAACAAGCCTGCTCCCTCCTCCCTATGACTTCCCTTCACATAATTGTACATGGCTCCTCTCAGCCTTCTCTTCTGCAGGCTAAACATGCCCGGCTCCTTACGCTGATTCTCATAGGAGTTGTTCTCCAGACCTTTAGTCACTCTCCTAGATGTCCAGAATGGGGCACAGTATTCCAGGTGTGGTCTCACCAAGGCAGAATAGAGGGGTAGCATGACTTCCTTAAAACATACTGGATCCTCTGAAGATGCCAGCCATAGATGCAGGTGAAATGTCAGGAGAAAATACTGTTAGAACATAGCCATATAGCTTGGAAACCACACAGCACCCAAGTGATTCCAGCCATGAAAGCCTTCTTTGAGACTTGCAAATGTGATTCCTCCTATCAGGGGCTCAGTACCACTAACTGTAGTACAAAAGACATGAACTGTTTCTTCATGCTTGCATACTTTCCTTCTGCTTCATGCCCACCCAGTAGTTTTGTGTTGCTGGGGTTGTGGCATGTGATTATCATATCAACCTAACCACAAAAGATGTGGGAAAAGAATGAGTTTGGACCTCTGGCTTGAGCAAATTGCCTGCTATCACCACCCACTAAGTAGGGATGAAGAGGGAGAAGGAGAAGGGATATTTGGAAGAAACAGGGATGAGAGGTGGGCAAAAACAGACAGAAATGTTCCACTCTTCTACTCTACCCACTCTTGGCAAACAGCCTCTGAAAGTGGATTGTTGTAGGTTTTTTCAGGCTATATGGCCATGTTCTAGAGGCATTCTCACCTGACGTTTCGCCTGCATCCTCACTACCTCTGAGGATGCTTGCCATAGATGCAGGCGAAACGACAGGAAAGAATGCCTCTAGAACATGGCCATATAGCCCGAAAAAACCTACAACAATCCAGTGATTCCGGCCATGAAAGCCTTTGACAAGCATCTGAAGGCTTATTCCCAAGCAAGTATGACCCTTGTTGGGTTTAAAAAACCCCCCAAAAACAGATGTTTTCCCAACTTGCTTCAGACTTGGTGAACAAGCATATTCTCACTCCTGTTGTTTAGTATTTATTTGCTTATATGTTTGTGCATGCCACAAAATGTAACCACTTCCTTTCATAAAACAGTGCTGTTCCAGTCATAAAGTGGTCGGTAAACCACAGGCATCAGATTAAGTTTTTTTCTTTTTGGGAAAGGACAGTTCTAGTAATGCAGCAGCAACAAGCAACAGTTCAGAATAACCACAGAGTCTTTGAAATCACAAATAAATAATCTAGAGTTGACATTACTACATGGTTTCTATTACATTGTGAGTTTTCAAACGAATAACCATCTTAGGCTTTTTCAGCACAAAAAGGAAGGGGTTGTAGAAAAGGAATCTAGAAGCGATATTGAGACTAACTGATAAATACCGTATATACTTGAGCATAAGCCGACACAAATATAAACCGAGGAACCTAATTGTACCACAAAAGACTGAGAAAATGTATTGACTTGAGTATAAGCCGAGGGTGGGAAATGCAGCAGCTACTTGTAAATTTCAAAATAAAAATAGATACCAATTGTTCTGTCACACTTTGGGCCTGTAAATAGTTGTCTTTAAAACAGGATGTGCAACCTTTGCCCAACGGGAAGTCAGGGGGCCCAAAGAGAAGTTCTCAGAGGTTTCCACCACAAACAGTCTTTAGATGGTTTGAGAAGTACAACAAAGTTTTTTATTAATGAACAATCAAACAGAAACTTCTCTTGTCTTCAGTAAAGTTAAGTAAATGATTCCAAGATTTTGGGCAATTGGTGAATTCCTAAACTTGCCCAGGAAGGACAGGCAACTATCTTCATTAATTTCTTCTTTAAAGGAAAATCCCCTTTTTAACTTCTCCCAGGCTGACCGAAACTTAAACCTGTCTGATGTGGGCATCACTACCGGGTTGAACTGAGTCTCAAAGCACCGAGTGGACCTACCAGCAAGGCCTGTAGTCTCTTCAGCTGGAGTTCTTTGATCTTTAGGGCTGTTTCCCTGGAAAGTCTTTGGAGACTCTTTTCCTTCTGTTTTTGTTGGAATTTCTGTAACCCTGGAAATTCTTAAAGGTTGAAGCTTTTGTACAGGGGACGTTTACACACGTCCTGTACATTGGCAAACCTAGCTGAGACTAACTAAAAAATGGCTCCCTTCCCTTCCCAATTGCCCTGAGCAAAGGGCAGGACCAAACTTAATGATGATGGACAGGCGGCTTGCCCTATAACTGCAACCAAAGAAGCCACCTATCTGCAGAGTCCCTGAAACTTAGGACTGCAAACAAACACTCAATGCAAAGCAAACAAAATTGGAGCTCCTGGTACAGCTGTACCAGAACACCAATAAAATTACCTTAATTGAGGCATCAGTAGATTAAATGTTTTTGAATATTTATATAAAACTGTCATTTAAGTTAAGACTGTCCAACTTATTAAACCATTATTCTAACCTTCTTCAATGTAAATGTGCTCATGTATCCTTCCAATAATAATAAAGAGAGTATAGAATCATAGAATCATAGAGTTGGAAGGGACCTTGTGGGCAATCCAGTGCAACCCCCTGCCAAGAAGCAGGAAAATCGCATTCAAAGTAAAATAATAAATGTAATAAAAATAATAATAGAGAAAAATAATAAATGTAATAATAATAATAATAATAATAATAATAATAATAACAGAGAAAAAATAATATGAAAGCAGCAAGGGCAGCACTGTACAAGTACGGTAGAAAAAAATCCACTCAGCAGGATTTGTGGAAAGAAGTGACTTAACACGGTCCCAATGATGAGGTGAGGGGGCACCTCACTGGGAAGGTGTAAGTGAAGGGCACAGCAAGCTGCAGGCATCTGGGATGCCCGGGGTATGAAAAAAAGAGATAGAGCGGCGCTGTGCCCAGAAAAACACGCCTCTTTCACACATCTGGCCCGACCTTATATCCTATTACCATACTTCCTTCTCTGCCTCTCAGATCTCACTCCTGAGGTCTGCAGTGAAGCAGCATAGGCACGTATGTGTGAGATCTGAGAGGCAGAGAAGGAAGTACGGTAATAAGAAAATTACCATATTGAAATCAAATCTGATGTTTTTTAAATTGGTATTTGGTGTTCATTGGAAGAGGGGTAGTCTTATACAGCGAGTATATGCTAAACGCTATGTTTTAACTGGAAAAGTTGGGGGTCGTCTTATATGCCTAATTGTCTTATATGCCGGAAAACAGGGTAATAATAATAGAGTAAACATGCTCTGCTACGTGTTACAAAGCATCAACCCTCTAGTGATTACAGATATTGCACATCTTTGCAGTTACATTTCCTGCACATATAAGTTTTCTTATGAGCACACAACACCCAACAGGATTTGTCCCTAATTTAAAAGCACAGTTCCTGCATGTTATTTACTGTTGCAATTTATCTGTGAGTGCACTGTAGCCTTCAGACATATATTATAAAGAAACAAACAACACTACAAATCATTTGGAGTTAACTTACTTGTAAATATTTCTTCTGCCTGGATAGCCCTCAAATTCATTGCTTGAATAAAATCTGAAAGGAAATTTATGCTAATCAGATAAACCATGCTTTATAAATGATGAGGGCATTGTTTGCCATTATAAGTGGGACATGTCATAAAGAACATGCAGGGTGAAGTGCTCCTATAATAAAATGCCCGATCATTCAATTTCTAGTCCAAGTATAAGTTAATTAAGTTAATTTTGAGTTTTTGTTAAACTGCTGGTGCAGAGAATATTGGAGTCTTGGAGATCCGATAATTCAACAGCTCAGTAGAAATAGATCCCACCACAGGCGAAATGTAGGTTATGAATCCAATAAATAAACAACAAACAAATAGGTAAGGAGTTCAGATCTGTTGGGGTTCTCTTGATTGAAAGGGATGAGCTCAATGCTATGGTCACATGCTTCCAGTCAGACCAAAGCTTCTGTGCATATCTCTAGGCTGGATAAGAGTTAGGTGTACCATGCTTGCTATGCTCTCAAGTCCTCCTCCCACACCAGGAGCCACTGGTGGTGCAATGGGTTAAACCCTTGTGCCAGCAGGATTGCTGACCGTGAAATCAGCAGTTCGAATCTGGGGAGAGCAAGTTGAGCTCTCTCTGTCAGCTCCAGCTCCCCATGCAGGGACATGAAAGAAGCCTTCCACAAGGATAGTATAGTAAAACAGCAATCCCCTGGGCAACGTCCTTGCAGACAGCCAATTCTCAAACCAGAAGCGACTTGCAGTTTCTCAAGTCGCTCCTTGATAAAAAAAACATAAAACAATAAAACAAGTCCTCCCCTCAAATCAAATGTGCTTGCAGAATTCATTTTTGGGAGGAAAAAAAACCCATCAACAACACTAGGGCCAGCAAATCAGCACTGGTTTTACTTCTTCCCTAACTCTCCATCCTGAGCTGATAGATCTGTTGCTTTTAAACAAGGCTCTGACTACGCAGCTGTATGAGCTCACAGTCAGGCTGGAACCAGACACCGGAAGTGTACCAAAATGATTCAGGATATTTAAACTAGATCTTGGGGAAAAATCTGAGTACGAGTTCTAACCCAAAAAAGAACTTTTCAATCTTTGATTAAAATAGAATACTATGTGGGCTGTTTTCACGGATAAATTCTTTTGACATCTCTATCAACGTGCATCTTTACCCAAAAAAACCAAGGGGCAAACCAAGAATGGGCAATTTGGAAGTCCCTGAACAAACTCAGAAGTGGAGTGGGCAGATCAAAAGACAACCTGGCTAAATGGCACTACCTAGAAGAATCCTCTACCTTGTGCAACCCTGGATCTGCATGCTTGCCCACAATGCCCTGCCTCATGTACAGGGGAAGAATTGTTTAACACTACAGACAATGCAGTCACTGTTGCTCGTTTTTGGTCTAAAACTATTTAGCTGCTTGTGCTCCCTCTATTTTATTAGTTTTATACTTATTTATTTGTGCAATGCTTTTCACATGAAACAAATAACCCCAAAAAGCTATTTATGTCTCTTTTTACAGAAGGATCCAATCCAACCTTAAGGTCCTTCCTAAGAATATTTGTTTATCCATTTTATCCTGTTATCTATATAAATCTTCAGTCTCTAGCTTATGTAAATTGGTTAAGGTTGAAATGGAAAAACCATTCTTGCATGGAAAATCATTTTCACTGACAGATGATATAACTAACCTGTTGTCTTCACATAATACTTACATTTCATTGTCTGTTACTTTGTAAATGTATATGGCCTCCCATTTTCCACTTGTGATTTGAGTTGCTTTTTCCTGTTTTAAAAACCACCACATTAGAAGTCAGATATTTTATTGCCCATGCATATCCTGGAACATAAGTGAACTATGATTTAGGTCTTTGCATGACATACCACTGAGTCTTTGACATAATGAATATGCTTGTAACCATCCCCATCACTATAAATTTTGTAGTATGAAGTAGCATCTGAAGTGAAATAAGGTGCTGAAACAAAGAACTGAGAGATAAAATAAAACAAAGACCATAAATGAAACAAAAATGAGAAATGTACAAAATACAAAGACTAAACCGATCAACTCCCCCCTGCCACCTGCATTGGCTACAAAATGGCACATCCATCTGATCATTGAGATGACAAAAGGTTCAACAGTAATTTCCAATGCACAATCTGATGTGACCTTTAGGTTGGCAGAAGCTGGGGCTAATAGCGGGAGCTCACCCTGCTCCCCAGATTCGAACCGCCAACCTTTCAGTCAGCAAGTTCAGCAGCTCATCAGTTTAACCCGCTGCACCACTGGGGGTCCCTTAAAAGTATTACTCAACTAATATAATAATAATAATAATAATTATTATTATTATTATTATTTATTTATTTATATCGTGCCCTATCTCCCCAAGGGGACTCGGAGTGGTTACGTCTTCCCCACCCAATCAAGTACTGTATCCTTATTTTATGCATGCTATATAATTAGTTTATGTAGACTTTGATCATTATTATTTTTAAATAAATGACAAAGTTTATGTTGTGGTATCAACAAATGATGAGGCAATGGTTTTAATCTTTTCAAGTACATATCATAATAATGGGAGACCTAAATGCCAGGATAGGAGAAAATGACACCGCGATAGAAGTAAAGTATTACTCAACTAATATAATAATAATAATAATAATAATAATAATAATAATAATAATAATAATAATTCTGAGGAATCACAAAGAGGGTAGAGTCTTTCTTGATAGAAACTCAAAAGACAAAATTTTGAACTACGTAGGATACTGTATGCTACAAATGAAATGAAAAATGCTTTATAGAAACAGCAAAGATTTATCAGAAACAACATATAGGAAAATAGACATAATGTATATTGTAATTTTTCCTTAGTATTTATTTCTATTTATGTTTATATTTTAATTTGGTTAGACTAATTTATAATTATATGCTATTGTCTTGGTATTAACTTTTGGTTTTCACATGTATGTATGGCATTGAATTTTGCCTTTATAATGTTGGAAACCACTTTGAGTTCCCTTACTATATAAATGTAGTAAGTAAATAAATGAATAAAGTCTATGTTCCGATTTTTAAAATACAAATATGCCCCATTTCTTCTGGCTGCTGCTTTTTTCCGTAAAGGGGACTTCATATTAATTATTTGTTGAAAACTATCTATGCATGTTCTTAGTAAATAAAAACTAGTTTTTAATCCAATCTATTTAAAGCCATGCTGTAACTACCAAGGTCATTGCCATAGATTAGCTAAGATATTATGTATTTCCAATGCAATAAACAACAGTTTAAAGATAATAAAAATCATACTCCACCAGCCCATCCTGTGTGGCTCTCCTCTATATGCTGCTGATTCTGTAAAATTAAAACAAGTCAGCGGTGTCATTATGTGTGTGGTGGAAATGAAAGGACACCTTCATAGAACATTGATTTTTTAAAAAGGTGAACATTGAAAATTAAGATCTAGTTTAGAAATTCTCTTGAGTGATAATACTTTCCATATCATGTAAACACAGAAGGGTCCCTTTTTATTAGTGTCCAACTATGAAATGTAGCTACCATAATAACAGTCCACCCTAACCAGATCTTCAAGAAAAAATCAAAAACACTGGTGGATCCATTGACTAGAAACGTCCACCTCAACCATATATAGAACATTTGCAAAACGAATGGGTGCTAATTATTCATCCACCGAAAAACAACCCAAAATATTATGTATTATGAGAGGGCTAGCACACACCAACCTACCATTGTAGTGAGAAATCATCACACAAAGACACTGTACCCCAGCTATGGTAAGGACGCTAGTTAAGTTCAGAGGAAACAGGGAAGGGTAAGTATATGACAAATAATGTGGTTATTCCTGCCAATCAAAACATCCTGGCACTTGGATCCGATGAGCCCTAGCTCCATTCCACTATGGAATGTTGTCCCAACACTGAAGAAGTAAAGGAAGTAAAACTCAGATGGCTTCTGCATATGAAAGTAGCATGTGGACTCATTATTCCTCCTATTTTCAGCAGACCCTGCATCAGTCATGAATAAGAGCACTTTCAAAGTGGCTCCATCATCCTAAAATGTGTTTGCCTATTTTCACTGTCTGAATGGAGCCTTTTCTACAAAACCAGAAATGTATAATTTCACCAAACAAGACAATTACACCAATATCCTAAAAGTCTCTCACATATTTTGGACACCAACTTCAAACTTCTTAGCTGCCAAATTATTTAAATTAATATACAGTTAAGTTGCTTAGCATTTCGGTTGCTAAATTAAAATAAATGATCAGTTGGCTACGGTTGGCAATGCTACATTCTGTTGATTTATAAACACGTAGCATGTTTACTTGCTTTTTAGAGTTATTTTAGTACTGTTGATGAAATATTTCTCCATGGTCTAGAGCCTCGTGAAATGTTTTCAGCAAATTTCTTCTCTGAACACAACATATTGCATGTTCAAAATCCATAACGTTGCATCTCATCAGCAGTCGGGGTTACTACGCCGCCTCCCTTGGGATAAGTACTGAATTCACTAAACCATAGTTACTGTTGATGGTTTGGCTGGAAATGTCAAGAGGTCAGGAGGCTTCTCAAAATAATGTCTACCAGCCAAGTGCATTTATTTGGCTTTGTATCTTATAAAGGCAAATAAAATACAGCCAAGGTGGGCATCAGGGCCATTGATGCTGCTAACACAGTAATCCCTGGTCCTGGATTCTCCTACTTCAGTGACAGCTATTTGGCCCCATTGGAGCCCCACTGCCCCATTATCACGTCAATGTGAAATACTATTGGTCATTCTGCTGTGTTGTTGGAGGTGTGCTACTGCATTCTGCATCACTGTCCCCTTTGCAGTAAAGACAAGCATCCACCAAGTCTTGGAGGGATGCCACTATGCTACATGCCCAATCATACTCTGGCAGTAAGCTCTCCTAACATGGCCTTTGAATTGAAAAAGAAGCTGAAGAAAGAAAATTAGGACTGGGGTATAATGGTATTTAGACAATTGGTAACAATGTCAAAGGACCTCTTCACATATCTTGCCGGAATTGCCATGTATTGTTGTGATTCCAGCAGTGCCTGTTGGGGTGCATGGGGAACCTGTTGCCCCACATGGCCCAACTTACTGGTAAGTACATCCCACGGGGAGAAGTGTTCGCCGTAGGCCTGTGCGGTTTCGTTCGTTAATTCGTTAATTCGTTAAACATTCGTTAATTTTTGCATATACGAAACGATAACAAAACATATTTTCAAACCCGGAAGGGTTTTTAAATATCGAAACGGCAGGCGCCAAAAAATTTTGTATTTCCGTCCATTTCGGAAATACGTAAGATGGCCGCCTGGCTTGCTGGGAGCTCTCCTCTCTCCGCGCCGGCTGAGCAAGCGAGCGAGAGGGCGAGCGAGAGGGCGAGGGCGAGCGGCGAGCGAGAGGGCGAGTGAGAGGGCGAGCGGCGAGCGAGAGGGGAGCGGCGAGCGAGAGGGCGAGTGAGAGGGCGAGCGGCGAGCGAGAGGGCGAGTGAGAGGGCGAGGAGAGGGCGAGCGGCGAGCGAGAGGGTGAGCGGCGAGCGAGAGGGCGAGCGGCGAGCGAGAGGGCGAGTGAGAGGGCGAGCGGCGAGCGGGGCGGCGAGCGAGAGGGCGAGTGAGAGGGCGAGCGGCGAGCGAGAGGGCGAGTGAGAGGGCGAGCGGCGAGCGAGAGGGCGAGTGAGAGGGCGAGCGGCGAGCGAGAGGGCGAGTGAGAGGGCGAGCGGCGAGCGAGAGGGCGAGTGAGAGGGCGAGCGGCGAGCGAGAGGGCGAGCGGCGAGCGAGAGGGCGAGTGAGAGGGCGAGCGAGAGGGCGAGCGAGAGGGCGAGTGAGGGAGCGGCGAGCGAGAGGGCGAGCGGCGAGCGAGAGGGCGAGTGAGAGGGCGAGCGGCGAGCGAGAGGGCGAGCGGCGAGCGAGAGGGCGAGTGAGAGGGCGAGCGGCGAGCGAGAGGGCGAGCGGCGAGTGAGAGGGCGAGTGAGAGGGCGAGCGGCGAGCGAGAAGAGGGCGAGTGAGAGGGCGAGCGGCGAGCGAGAGGGCGAGTGAGAGGGCGAGCGGCGAGCGAGAGGGCGAGCGGCGAGCGAGAGGGCGAGTGAGAGGGCGAGCGGCGAGCGAGAGGGCGAGCGGCGAGCGAGAGGGCGAGCGGCGAGCGAGAGGGCGAGGGAGAGGGCGAGCGGCGAGCGAGAGGGCGAGCGGCAAGCGAGAGGGCGAGTGAGAGGGCGAGCGGCGAGCGAGAGGGCGAGTGAGAGGGCGAGCGGCGAGCGAGAGGGCGAGCGGCGAGCGAGGGCGAGTGAGAGGGCGAGCGGCGAGCGAGAGGGCGAGCGGCGAGCGAGAGGGCGAGTGAGAGGGCGAGCGGCGAGCGAGAGGGCGAGGGCGAGTGAGAGGGCGAGCGGCGAGTGAGAGGGCCCGCCAGAGTGAGTGCCTGCCTTCCCTTAATTTCTCCTCCCTATTCTACTAAATTATTTAATAATTAAATTTAAAAAATATTTAAAAAATATTGAAAAAAAAAAGGCCCCATCTTTACAAAATGTTTTGTTAATATTTACGAAATTTCGTAAATACCGAAACTTTTTTTTGGAAAGTTTTGTAATTATTTTAAATATCGAAACAAAAAAACACCCCAATTACAAATCGATTTTAGAAACAAATTTTTTCTTGATCAAACAGGCCTAGTTCGCCGCCTTCTCCCCATTGATCCCGTATTGCTGCCATGGCGGCATGCACCACTTCGCCTCCCTTTCACTAGGAAATCCCACAGGAAGTTGCAATGCATCGTAGGATGGGAGCTGCCCGGCTTTATGGTGAAAAGGAAGGCAAACTGGTGCATGCCACTGATTACACCCGTCTGATGAGGTCGAAGGTCCCTTTCAGACTCTAATGGGACAGTTTTTGCCACATTAAAAGCTTCAGTTTTAAGACTGGGAGTGAGTAGGAGGGTTAGGAGGAAGAGCCTCCACTCTTGCTATTCAAAACAAGCACTGCTTTGAGGTAAAAACATAGGGATTCCTTTCTTATACAGGAACCCTCCCAAGTCCATTATATTCAATGCAGTGGTTTATGTTATAGCTCAATGATAATAGAAATACATTAAACATATTCATATGATACATTTCATCTGATTCATCTCCTTGTAAGACATCTTCCATTCTGCTAACAGTGCTAGCTCTGTAAAATTAAACTTGCATAGCTACAGCTTCATTCAAGTGAAAATTGTAACCTCATTGATACCCGCTGAATTGCTTACATTTGAAAAGTTGGTCAAATCATCTAGAAATGAAATCTGGAAGATTATAGAAGTATATGATAACTGGTGAGAATCATTTATGCACAGGATCTAGTTACTCCAATGCAAGGAGAAAGGCCGATGAAGACCTGTGAATTAGCAAAGCTGGACAAATTGAATATGCTGATTGAGAAATCTTTGACCAACTTGAAGAAAGATTGGGACTTGTATTACTTTTTCACAACGATGGAGGCAATTGTCAATTGGAGGATTTATGAATTAGAATAGTAATAATAGTAATAATCATAATAATAACAATAACAACAACAATAACCAGCTGCCAGCTGCAAAAGGCCATCTTACTGGGATCTGCACGCATTATTCGCTGATACATCACACAGTCCTAGACACTTGGGAAGTGTCCGACGTGTGATCCAATACAACAGCTGGTAGAGTGTCTGCTGTGGACTCATCTTGTTGTGTTTCAAATAATAATATCAATAACTTTATTTTTGTATCCCGCCTCCATCTCCTCAAAGGGACTCAGGGCGGCTTACATGGGGACAAGCCCAATCAACATAGTTAAAATATAACACATTAATATTCATAAAACAGCAATATAAGCAAAATAAAACAACAACAGTATAACACAATAGAAAAACAACCATCAAACAGACAACCAGTAGCCTTAAACACAAAACAGTTCTGGGCTTGGGCGGGGGACCGATATGCGTACAGTCAGTTGTGAGGACATGGTTGATAGATAAAGTGCAAATGACACAAATTGGAGATAAAGGACAATATGAAGTGGAACACTGTGTCTTGGGCAGGGGGCATTAGTAAAGTGCAGGGACTGGAATTTGGGTCATAACTGGGAGCCAAAATTTTCTGGGGAAAGTCTAATCAAAAGCACAGTGGAACACCATGTTACCAAATGAATATGTAATACCATTTAAAGGGGGTAGACATTAATGTATAAAAACCATCAGATAGTGAATGTGTCATAAAATTGTTTTCTTGTTTGTTTGTTTGTTTGTTTGTTTAATTTCTCTGTGTGTGTTTCTGTGATTGTGTTTTGATGTCAGTTTGTAATTACTAGTAGTAGATTGAATTTATTCATATAGTTTTATTATAATCTGTCACAAAATCTTGCTCGTTTGTATTGCTAATTGTCATTTTGTTATGTTCCTTCTTTCTCAAATAAAAAAATACGTCAAAAACTGACCAAATATATTAGTGGATTTGGAGATTTTCTAAATGATCACAGGGATTCTAACCGGTCTATTTATTTATTTTTCACTGAGATGTATTTGCCAAGATAATGAGTACAAATTCATTACCTAGCTGTGAGTCTCCTATATAGTGTATATATATTTATTATCTCCCAATATATGAAGTCATCCACGTTACATACACATTATTACTTGCAGATTAATTTGAAAGAAAAGGTAAGAGGTGGAAATAGAGTCTCCTGGAGCTCTTTTGAGCAAACACGGCTTAATGGAGTTCTCACATCTGTTCACACTCCTGTTAACTATCAATTGGTGCACAGACTGATATAATAAAAGCACTTTTTAAACTGAGTATGGTAGAACTTTCAATAGCACTTCTCATTAGGCAATGAAATGCTATGGAGTGCAATTGTCATGGGACTTTGAATCTGATGTTGCCAGGACCTGTTTCCAAGTCTACTGAAATACTTCAGTCTCAGTATAAAGTACCGGCATTTTCAATAAACATAGACAAACCAATCACTTTCATATCCACTAGCAATATTTTTATGAAAAACTCCATAGGAAGCTCATATGCATTTTTCTGTGCATTTCTCTTAATCTACACACTTCACCCAATAAACACATATTTGCAATACATTTCTTATCCCTAGGATTAATTTTCACATGCCACTGACACTAATATACGCATTTGATGCCTTATTTTCATTTCAGTATATACAGCTGGCCTGCCGTCTTACAGATTCAACCATCCTAGGCTTAAAAATATTTTTGAAAAAACATCCAGAGCAAATCTAAATTCTTCTATTTTATGTAAGGGACACCATTTTACTATGGCATTGTATACGACAGAACTTGATCATTCACCGGTTTTGGTATCCACAAGCGGTTTATGTACCAAATATCAGCAGATATCAAGTGCTTACTGTATTTTTAACTGGAGAACTGCATCAGAATATTTGAGAAATATATAATATTGACATATAATGGTACTGATGGTGGGGCACAGTAAAATAGGCAATTTACCAAATGTCTCCTTCCATCTCCGTTTCCTACAAAGAAAGATACAATTCCACTCTGCATTTCTTGTGGACCACTAGTCTCTGCCAATTGTGGTGAACGGAAGGTGAAATAATCCTATTGATATATCAAGGGATATATGGATTGTTAAAGGGGTGAAAGTGAGTTGCGACACAGCCACATTCTTCTTCTTCAGACTCTTTGATATGCTGCCAACAGAAGAATATTTAGAAGAAAAAGGAAAGGAAGTATGAATTCCTTGGGTGTCCCTTCTTTCATACCTCAAACAGCTGGAGAAAAATCCAACTGGAAAACCTTCATAGTGAAGTGCAAGAAATGTTTGCATTTAAAGACATAACAGTACCTCCGGGCAGATCCAGGATCTGGAGCGATCATTGTAGTCACAGATGGCTGAGACAGAGAAGTTCTGAACCCTTTTCAGCCACTGCACACAGATTCGGTTGTCTGTTGCCCATGTAATCCAAGTGACATAGTGGTCACTGAAAATAGGACAGAGAAAAGAGCTATTTTATATACGTCTGAACATATCTCCTTCTATGAATCACCTTGGAGATTATTGTCTGGGGAGGCCCTGCTCTCGGTCCCGCCTCCTTCACAGGTGTGGTTGGTGGGAACGAGAGACAGGGTCTTCTCAGTGATGGCCCCTCGTCTATGGAATTCCCTCCCCAGTGAAATTAGAGCAGCCCCCTCCCTCCTGGTCTTCAGGAAGAAAGTAAAAATGTAGTTATGGATAGAAGCCCAGTGCAATTTTGGTGGCGTGTATGAGAGAAAACTCTGTAGGAACAAAGTTCAGAAAATACCATTTAGGGAGCAGGATGGGGGTGAGATGGTAGAGGCTTTGGCTTTGCCTGGAATTTGTGTAACTGAAGGATGGGGAAAGTGTAGCCAAAGGGCCACTTGGCACTTTTCTAGGGCCATCTGTGTGGCTCCAATTTGCAAAAATTGAGGTTCAAATTCTTTTACTGCTCTGAAAGGACTCGACATTTCAAAGCCAAATAGCAAACACTGTCCCTAAGCCTTCAAGAGGCCACATGGGTAATTTTGCCACATCTATTCCAGCCACTTCATCTGTCTGAAGGCAATAGCAAACCTCTACCTAAATCCTGCCCATAAAACCCTATGATGGGGTCAGCGTAAGATGGAGATGACTGGAAAACACATGAACAAACAACAGAATTTTTGTCCAAACAGAAACTGACAATCCAAATTGGGGGTGGTGAGAGGAGGAGGGATTTCCCCAAGTCTATCAAAGGATCTCTGAAGTTTTAAAAGCTTGATTAAGCCATTTTGCTCCCTGCCTCCACCCCACTTAGATCATGTATTGTGCGTACACAGAGCAAAATTGGAGTATCAGTCTTAATATTTCCATCTCCTTTCAATATATTAGAACTACTGCCAAGAAAACAACCTTACAAGGGGGAAAACCCCAGGTTCTCCTACTGGGGTTAAAAATGCTGAAAGGGAAATGGTGCATTTAATATATTACCTGGATGCTATTGTTGCTGGAGGAAATATCTCCTTAGGACCAAAATGTTCAGGGTTAGTAGTGTCTATAACAAACACTCTAACTGTAGGATTTTTTGCTCCAGCCTTCAAAGGAAAAATACCAGTATGTTATTCAGAACTACCTCTACACAATTTAGTTCAAATTTGATTTTTTTAAAAAATCACTCGTTTTACTTGGGAAGACAGAAGTTATCTTCATCTATTTCTAGCATACATGGTGAAACTGCTTTTCTGTCATGTGCTTCTTACCACTTCTACAGATTGCCTTTGACAAACCAGAGGGCTGCCGTTATGTGCGGCATTGTTGCAGGTCATTTCTTCATCATATTTTCATACCCTCCCAACATTTCAGAGTATGCTCAAAATGGCAAAAGTTATCAATGATGAGGAACAGACCAACTAGGAAAGGAAGGTAGATCAAAAGGGCTTTTCCTTTTGAGCAATAGAAAATGAGCTGGTTTCTATTTCAAAAAAGTCCTCTTTTACAACTTAAATTGGCTCAGCTCACTCTCCCTAAATGTATCAGAGGGCATTCGGGGTCATACAATCCGCCCCATACACTCAAGTCGTTTGGGAGATATTTAATCCAGTCAGACAGGACTGGTGATAGTCACGCAGAGGACATTTTGTTCAGCCTCCTCTAGATTGTGGAATGACCTGCCAGAAGAGCTTGGACAGCTGAACGCACTGTCTGGATTTAAAGCCACAATAAAGACCTCTCTTTTCCAGCAGATTTATCCTATCCAGGTGATTTTTTTAAAAATGTGGACCTGAAATTATAATTTTCAAATTATGTATTGGTTGCTTTAATATTGATGTATTTTATATATTCTTCAAAATAGATAATTTAACCGGTTTGTGTATTATGCATTTTTAACCAATGGTATTTTAAAATGTCGTTGTTTCTCACTTCAATCCATGGGAAGAGAAAAGTAAGTAAATAAAAATGACTTTTGTTGTAATAATTATAATTATTATGGAGCAAAAAAGGAGAATGATATGCGCTTTTCTTTTCACATCTGGGGGGTCTCCAAATGTGGTAAAAAAAAAACACCCCCTGTAAATCCTAGAAGTCATTTGGAAGTTTTTGGGCTAAAATTCCTTTTGATGCTCAGGAGGTACCTAGAAGCAACATGTTGCTGACCCCTGTACTCTGCCCATCCCTGTTCTAAAGGGATGAGGGAATCAATCCAACAATGTATAAAAAGTGAAAGAAATAGCTCGGGTTCCTCATTATGGAATTTACCAAATATACAATGCTTAAACCACAGTTTAATTTAATCCTATACAATAACTTTTGTTGTTAAACCCAAAAAACTCAAGGAATCGTATGGTAAAATGGGATAAAATCATACTGAGCAGGCTATGTCAAACGTCAAAAAAGAAACTACATACCTTTGGATATGGAAAAGTTATTTTTCTAGGATATTGACTGTCACCATAATATGAATATTCAATCACTGGTATTTCAGTGTCATTGAACTGTAAATATGCCACATTTTTTGCATTTGGAGACCACCAAAGTGCATATTTGACAGCAAGCATTTCCTCTAAAAGAAAACACAGCAGATGTCATGTATCTTCTATTACTATGACACAAAAATCTTTATAATCTATCATGATTTTTATTATAACGTTTACAATGACCCAAGTATATATATAGAATTATTTCTCTGGCAAAGCTGCCACTAACTAACATTAATTGTATCCAATTGTCAGACTGACAACTAAAATAGTACAGGACACACTGTTTATAACATAAGGATTTCTCATCTATATTTTCTTCTGGATCAATATCCTAAACTTAGGGAAGAGCATGTGGCACGTATGCACCAGTTTTCAATCCGGTGTAAATTTCCGGCTTGTTTAGATGCTCTGGTCAAAAACGTGTTTATTTACCCGATTTTTTTCCAATTTAACCTAGATTTTTATTTGAAGTTATTCTTCTATTTAGAAACAAATAATATAATTTTAATAAACACAAAGCTTGGCTGGAAATAATGCATTATTAACAATATAAGCTAATAATTCACTAACCTTTTCCAATACTTTTATGCCATCCTGAGCTTCATTTTGGAAATTACTGGGTTAATTTAAATTGACTGGGAAAGTGGAAACATTTTTTTTTGGTTAATGCTAGGAATGTGTAGGAAAAACTTTAAGATAAAGAAAACATCATATAATATTGGGGTTTGTACAAGAATGAAACTTAACATTTCCTAGGTTTTTGCCCCTTCTGAAGGTGCCCAAAGTATCAGATCTCAAGCTGGACAAAAATTCCTTTCATGCCCTCAGTTGCTCAGTATGAGGGCAGGGAAGTGCTTTGCTCTCTTCCAGTGAAGGGAGAGTCAAAAGAGTCCCTGTGAAACCTGTTATGGGCAGGGTCAGTGAAAGAATGCTCCCCAGCCAGGTCATTCCTTCAAAGATGCTGACCCACCCATCCACTTCCTCTACAGTGTACTTTACAAGGGTCACCTATGGGGCCGGGTAGGAATTCCCCCCCATGTCCTGAGGGGGGGGGGGTAGCCTACCCTACACTGTTTAATCCATGGCAAATTGGGTAAGGGGGTTCTAAATAGGATTCACATGTGCATAAGGGTGATAGGTACACATCGGTGTGCACCACAGGAGAAAGGAGATTGATGTTGATGGCTCCACCCGTTTACCTGATGGGTCCCCTTGGGAACAACATGTGGGTTGCATTTGGGGACTGTGGTGTCTCACCATTGTTTGGGGGTGAGTTGGTCTTGGAGCACCGCTGCCTCACTTTATTACACAACAAATTCAAATGTAAGTTCTAATTCAATTTCAAGAACAAGTGCAAGTTCAAGTTTATGTTCATGCCCTTAAATCTGGTTGGTAGATCACACAGAGATTGATTGGTGACATATAATAAAAGTTGCCCATGGTTGACCCACAAAGTTGTGTTGTCTCATGATTGCATTGGTGGGACAGCAAGAACATCCCAGGAAACATGGAAAGGAGAAGTCTAAAATCAGGAGTCCAATCTAAATGCAAATAAATATATCATTCTCACCTCCTATCTATGCTCTTCAAAAAGGCTAAGTCAAATAAGTAAGTAACAGAGATAAAATATTAGATCTTTTTTTCCTCCTGAAGCAAAAACAACCTAGTATCTTGCAGGATCATATGGATTAATGAACGGTTTATGGCATAAACTCTCAGCCTGTAATCAGTTTGCTTCATCAGCTGCGGGAATGACCATACATAGATACTATTTCAACAATTCAGGATAGTATTGTATAGAACTGATACCACATGAAGAACTAATCTAGGGAGTGACTCAAATTATATGACTTATCTGCAAGTCTCCTCCTCACCATGAGTTATGCTTGCCAGCATTGGGAGGAGGGGGCATTGGATGTCCAACAACATAACAACATAAAAACAACATCCCAGGAAACAAGGGGAAGTCTACAATCAGGTTATGCCACAGCTGTGTTGTTTTTCGGAGGAAAGACTCCAGAGGATATGAAAAAACCTAGAAGTAGAATGTTAGGAAACCACGTGTCTTTCCAGAAATGCAAGCATTATGAATAAAAAATGTTAAGCAATACTTTGTTGCCATTTAGTGGTATCAGTTTTTCTAAAATTTCGAGGCAGCTGCCTTGTAAAGAAATAACATTGATTTGAAGATTCAATTTACCTTCATAGACCCAGTCTGGAATTCCATTAAATATTTGATTCCAATAACCATTTTCAGTTATTTGAATAGCAGGTCCTCTGGGATCTTGTTTCAAATAGATATTATTCTGATACACGTAAGCCTAAGAAGAAAAATCATTTTTTTCAGTGCATGCACACGATAGAATTAACTGGATGATGCCAATGCTATAGCACAGAACATACCACATCTGAATATGTGGCTGACCCCCAAAATGAAAATCCCATTTGCACAGATGAAGGTGGGCCAATCATCAACCCAATTTCCTTTGCAAATTGAAATGCTTTGCACATAAAGACTGTTACATCAAACCCATTGACACTATGGCATGGTGTATACTAGCTTTCTCCACTTTGGTGCTCTCTAATGGCCATGGAGGATGGTGGTGTCAGACTGCTCTTCAAAAATGTCTTGGGGACAACTTGTTTGTGAAATGTTGTAATATACAAAAGTAGTGTTTCATGGTTTTTTCCCCAGTTGCTTTAGGTTCAGAGATGTTGTTCTTTCTCTGAGAAAACCTCTGCTCAACCATGAAGTTGGGTTGATGTCTAAGGTCAAGCCCGCTCTATCACACAGATGTGTTGGGTAGGCTAAATGCTACCTAACCATATGCTTATTTGTATACCTATCCAGAATGCCTAGAACAAAATATAGTATAGATATGGGCAAACTGTTAGGTCATGATATGGAAAAGTTCACGCCACTCCATTTGGATCTCACAAGTTTGTGTTGGTAGTACATTATACAGGGAACTGGATTTGCATGGATTTTTTGTGTGTCTACAAGCAACAGCTTGGCAAAGCTTGTCCATCCAGCAGAGACAGAAAGAAAAAAGGAAATTTATATGTATTTTAGAAGAACTATAATGAATCAAAAGCCCACATAGTCCTATATTCACAAATTATCCAAATACTGCTTGGAAGTGTGTCGGGAAGACATGAAGACAAGAAGCTCCACCAGTCACTGTGATGCAAATATGTCCTCCCTCTGATATTGAAGATGATACATAGCTAGCTACCAATGACCATAATCTCCAGGAATATATCTTATTCCCTTTTTAACATCTTTCAAGTTGGCAACCATTAATTACATCATGTGGGCAGTGAAATCCACGGTTTAATTAAGGGCTATGTGCAAATGAATTTCCTTTGATCTATCCTGCATCTTCCTCTATTCAGCTCACTAGATGGTTCCATGTTTCAATATTATGACATTGTGGGATTATTCACTTCAGTTTTGTGCTCTTTAATCCTTCCTCTCACTTCCTTTGTTTTCAACTCATGGACAGTAGAAGGGAGAATGTATTTCGGATCAGGAGAAGTAACATGGACAATGCTCTATCAAAAAGGAAGGAGAGCTGCCAGAATTTATTTATTGTGTCAGAAGTGAATTGAGAATAGGTAAAGGTAAAAGTTTCCCCTGACATTAAGTCTAGTCACGTCCAACTCTGGGGGGTGGTGATCATCTCAATTTCTAAGCCGAAGATCCGGCGTTGTCTGTAGACACCTCCAAGGTCATGTGGCTGGCATGACTGCATGGAGAGCCGTTACCTTCCCGTAGAAGCAGTACCTATTGATCTACTCACATTTGCATATTTTCCATATGCTAGGTTGGCAGAAGCTGGGAGCTCACCCTGCTCCCCAGATTCGAACCGCCTACCTTTTTGTCAGTAAGTTCAGCAGCTCAGTGGTTTAGTTAAAAACCTAGCATTATTCTAATGGTGGGGTCAGCCTTGCATTCTCTTTACATAACTTGTACAGTCCTAGTTATATGGAAACCACTGTACAGGCGGCCTCGTAGGAAAGCTTGGTCCTACAACCCTGTTTTTTTTTAATGAGCTCCCCTTCTCAAATAACCTGCTTCTCCTTTTATCTCACCCGAGTTTTTTTTAAATCATTTTATTCTGCACATATGGCCCGCCCATTGTCACTGTTATTGTGTTATTGTAATTTTATATTGCTAATGTATTTATATGTTTTTATGTAATTATGATGTTGTTGTTTGTTGCTTGTGTTTTTGGTTTTATTTTGCTGTAATTTGTTGCTTGGACTTGGCCTCATGTAAGCCACCTCGAGTCCCCGTTGGGGGAGATGGTGGCGGGGTATAAATAAAGATGATGATGATGATGATGATGATTATTATTATTATTATTATGTCCCCAGTGACTTAACTTTAAGTCTGTCAATTCAACCTGGATAGACAGAAGATGGCCAGAATCTACAGTCTTGAGGAATGTTGCAAAGGGCCCTGATGTCTTAATTCTAATCCTTTGGTTTGTCTAGTTTTGCATAAACCAAAGTGCTTCAACTTGGATCAACCAATACGCTGCAAAAGCACACACGTTTATCTTACAGAGCCCTTCTAACGAGGCATTTAGCTCTATGAACCATTGAAGTGTTACCGTTAACCATTAAATATTCTTAAGCACAGTCAATAAACACAGTTAAAAGGCCTGTGAAAATGATATCTGAACAAATACCGAAGGCAAACAAAGCTCCTCTAAAGTAACATTATTCTCACACTTCATTAGTTTACTGACCAATTTGTGTCCAACAGGTGACCAGGCTATATACTGAATGTTGTGTGGAAGTTGATATTCAGTGACAAAAATCCTGCAAAAGCAAGCAAGAAGGACAGGATGATAAAGTGCTTACTAAATTCAGTATTTTCTGATGACTACAATATTACCATGAGTAGCAAAAAAAATAAATAAAAAAAATTACATTCACTTGTGCTAAGCTTAATTACAGGTAAATGTTAATTCCTCCCAAACAGATGTACATTCACTCCACTATTTTGGATATAGTGGGCTGAAATCTGGCAATCTTATTCAGGCAAATCTCAGTATTTTCAGACATTCACAAACATCTGCATTTGTCACCATTTGTGCATTATCACTTGTATGCAATTTCACATAGATCATATTAATAGGTATAAACTGGGTGTTATCATTCAGAATAGTCTGGGAAATATGAAGAAAATAGGGTGATATATACTGATATTAGAACATACAAAGTTTTACCATTAAATATCAAGCACTGTGCAAAAGCTATCTTCACTTTTCTCTCCATTTGACATCAAGTTTGAACTGAAATGCACAGTGAAGGAAGAAGATGGTGGCAGTACCTTACAGTGGGCCCTTGGTATCTGTGTGGATTTTGGATTCCATACAGATAACAAAAAACATGGATACTGGAGTCCTTATTCATCAAATGACAGTCTTCAAATGCTCTGGGGAGCATAATAGCCCATCTTTGACTTTTAAGCACCAGCTATAGTAACAGCTATAGTACTTCTGCTCATTCATTCATAAGGAAGAAGTAGGCAGATAGGATGGTCCCCAGAAGAAGGGGAACCCAAAGTATGTATTCCTGGTGGTGGGGGCCTGATGGGAACTTCACCTTGAAGCTGTGTGTGGTTGAATTTATGGATCCTGAGCCTGCAGATACAGCGGTCCCATTGTATTTTGATTGGCTGGACCAGCAGCAGGAAGGAAAAAGAAGCACTACTCAGAGAGCAATTGAGCCATTGAGTCCAAACTTCTCTCAATTCAGGAACTCCAGCTACAGCATCCCCAGCAGGTAACTGTCCAGCCACTCTTTGGGTGCAGCAATACTGTAGCATTAATGCATTTTGTCACCATTTTAACTGCAAAAGTTGCAGTTTGGTGAAGCACCAGTACTATTTGGCTAGAAAGGCTAAAGTCCTTGCAAAACCACAACTCCCTTAATTCCATAGTTAAAGTGATATCAAACTGCGTAAACACGCTCTAAAACAGAGAAAGGCACAGAGCAGTGCTTTCAAGGAAATGATAAAGATGGTACATAGGAAAAAATTCTGCCCGTTTTTTGTCAAGTGTTTTCAATATATTATTCCGCCAAAGTAATAAGTCAAAGGTTCAACTGAAAGAAACGTCTGACTGATCTTACCCATTTATGAGATCATATATGTGATAAGATGCTGTATAAGAGTATCTCCAAAGCTGAAAAATTAGAGAGATAACATAATTAGTTAAGACAGTAAAATCAGACAGGTAGAAGTTACTTAAATTTCTTTATTCCTAGGAAACCCTCCAGTCCTTCCAATACCAGAGTGCAGCTAGGGATTTATTGTTGCTGCTGCTATTATTGTTGTTGTTGTTATTTGAAACACAGCAAGATGAGTCCACAGCAAACAAGATCACTCTGTTGGCTGTTGTATTGGCCAGTGGTACAATGGGTTAAATCCTTGTGCTGGCAGCACGGCGGTTCGAATCCAGGGAGTGGGGTGAGCTCCCATCTGTCAGCTCCAGCTACTCATATGGGGACATGAGAGAAGCCTCCCACATGATGGTAAAACATCCAGGCGCCTCCTGGGCAACGTCGTTGCAGAAGGCCAATTCTCTCACACCAGAAGTGCCTTACAGTTTCTCAAGTTGCTCTTGACACAATTATTTTATTATTGTTATTGTTATTATTTTCCAGGATTGCGATCCAAAGTACTCACAATTTAAAAAGCAATATGGTTAAAGACATACAAAGGGGGGGGGGGGGGGACCAAAAATTCTTGAGAACAAAAGTAAGGTAAAGTTCATTCACAGGTTCCATGGAAAGGGATTCTTTTGGTAGTGGCATGGGTTGATCCTTTGCATTAAAACATTGTGAAGGGAATCCTCCTTCACCTGATACATATTAACACATGAAATTGTTTCATCCTGGAGCATCAGAAAGAAGACTGACAAAAGAACAGAGGATTTGCTCCTCCTCCTATTCCCACGAAAGAGGATATCCCGTCCCCACAGCCCAACAAACGTTTTACCTTAGAGTAATTGCTTTCTAACAGTATAAAACTGTGGTCTCCTGATAGTGCATAATTTGTGGCATTCACTTTTTTCTGGAAAACAAATATAACAGTTGGAATTCGAAGTATAACTGTCACTTTAATAAATTGATTTGTTATTTTAAAACAACAATAATACATACAAGCGTACTGTTGGTCAAGAGGATGACTGACTGGCCAGATTCAACATTGTGAAGAATCACATCATCTTCATCGGTCTGGTGAAGATATTCATTTCCTTTAAAAAAATAAATAATAGCTGTAATTCTCCTTACTTTCAAATGCAATCTCACTGCAACATCTAAGAACTCATCCAGAAGAGGGGGAGTAAATACTAAGGGCGTTTCCACACAGCCATATAACTCTGAATATCAAGGCAGAGAATCCCACAGTATCTGCTTTGAACTGGGTTACCTGAGTCCATACTGTCATATATTCCAGTTCAAAGCAGATAATGTGGGAATTTATTCACCTGTGTGGAAGGGGCCTTAGAGTTAGTATTGAGAGTTTCCAATTCTTTCTTGTTTTGGTTTTACCTGCAGATAATCAGGTATGCATCCAAACTTTTCCTGGAATTCCCCCTGAATTTCTTTCATTCCACCTTCCCTTGTTCTTCCTCCTCCCCTTCCCATTGTACACATGTATCATCTAGAATTTGATTTTCACCAATTTCTATGGAATCTTTTTTGTCGATTAGGAATGATTGTTAGTGTTGTAGCAACATTACACTACTTTTAAACACTAGGCTAATTTTAATGTTGGTGCAAATATTCCTCTTTCTCTTGTTCCCTGAAAATACTTCGAAATGAAAATACTTCCAAATGTCATGTGAGTCTCCACAGTAATAAAACCTGGGATTTTCAGCGATTTGTGCATCTCCAAAATAAAATCAGGCTACACAGGAACAAAACCTGGGACTTCAGAGACTTCATTGTAATCTGGAGGGATTCTGAGATTTGTATTTAACAGACTGGTTGGCATCTACTTATTGACTTGTTCAGTTATTTAAAGCATACTTTGTTCATATTTAAATTCAAAAGCCCTCATAAGGTATTTCACCAAAAAAAATCTGAAAAATAGGACAAATATGAGTAGGAAATAAGCCATGTACTAATGCTATTCCCAATTGGCATTTTGTGACAGTATTATCGATTTGCTCAGCATGTAGCTGCAATATATTTAGCTGTAACTAATTTATATACAGTTGCTTATAAAGTAATATGAAAATTAACAGACATGCAAAAAGTATAAAAATTAATAGCAATTAAAGGCGAAATGAACCCTGCAATGCCAATTCATTGAACTGCATTAAGACCTAAACATTATCCTGATGGATATCTACTTAACTTTTCTTTTCACAGATTTCCAGTAGTGATGTACAAAAGATAATCTGTCGGCCCTTAAAAAAACATTTGTCATCAAGGACTGGGAAGACATTGGATCAAATTCCTATATGATCACAAACCTCACTAAGGGCTGTTCCAGACAGGCCCTATGTCCCAAGATCTGATTCCAATTTTTTGTTTATCCCCAATTATCTGGCTGTGCAGATTCATATAATCCAGTTTAAAGCAGAAAACCTGGGATCGGATCCTGGGATATACAGTCTGTCTAGAAGTGTTGATCATTTTGACCCTATACTCTCACTGCAGAATTACTGTTAAGAATAAAATTGGGCTCCTTGGAGGAAAAGCAAGATAAGAATATAACACAACTACAGCAAAAAAAGAGAGATTCAATATAGTGGATTCTGTTCTGGGGACTAGCAACAGTTTTGTATACAGTTCTTAAGAAATAGGACGTCATTCAGGGAACAGCACCATCAACATATGTTTTATGCCATATGTAAAACAAATGTCTTGGCTCAGAAGCAATTATCTCCTTTTATACATGAGGTAGTTATTCTATGCATACTTAACGTGGAAGCCAGTCCCTGTCATTTTAGCAAGTACTAAAGAGATATATCAAAGGAGGGGAACCTCTTTCAGTCTGAGGGCCAAATTCAGTTTCAGAGGAGCTGATGCATTTGACATTTCAACACTGGAAAGGTGAAAAGCAAACAGGGCCATAAATATTTTAGCTCAATTGATTATTGTCAGCAACTGCCATATAAAATCCAGATTATCTGCTTCAAACTGGATTATATGGCAGTGTAGACTCAGGTTGGATTTCACTGCCAAATTATCTGCTTTGAACTGGATTATACACTGCCATATAATCCAATTAAAAGTAGTAGGTTGGGGTCTCATATAATCCAGTTCAAAGCAGATAATCTGGCAGTGAAATCAACCTGTGTCTACACTGCCATATAATCCAGTTTGAAGCAGACATTCTGGATTATCTGCTTTGATAATCTGGATTATATGGCAGTGTAGAACCATCTTATGATATAACAATGGCATAAGAAACCCCAACCTTAGAAAATGGGAGGTTGTGTGAGATCCCATTTGGGGAAACCATAAGGTGATGGCCATCTAAAAAACCTTAAGAGATCAGATTTAGGCTAGATCTACACTGCCATATAATCCAGTTCACAGCAGGCAATCTGGGTTTTAGATGGCAGTGTATATGGGGCTTCAGACTGTGGTAAGTCGGAGATTGACCACCACCAAGCTCTATCATGGTAATGTTTATCTCAAAATGAATTGCTAATCTCATGTCCCACTCCTATCCCCTATAATATTTGGGAATCAGCTATTTATTTGATGTTCAATGAGGATTACTGATGCCTATTAAAACAACAACAATCCCCTAAAAGAAAGATGAACAAAAAACCAAAACAATAACCAAATCACAAAACAAGGCTAGCAGATAGGAGCATTTTACATGTGGGTCCCCACGGGGAGATAGGGTGGGATATAAACAAATAATAATAATAATAATAATAATAATAATAATAATAATAATTATTATTATTATTATTATTATTACACCTTGACTTACCTGAAACCCAATAGGGAGAATATGTTTTGTAGCTGAAGTCTCCATCAAGATACTCTTCTAACGTTAGAGGCCTAGGATTATTTTCTTTATGTCGAACTTTAAAACAGAGATGAGAGCATTAATAACGACTCACAAAACAAACAGAAGTCATTGAAGCTTTCTTTCCGTTCCTTTGAATTGGCCAATACTTGGACATTTGGGGACATTTTTATTCTACTAAAGTCAAAGGAGGTGACATATGTATGGAAAGCATATTGAAAACATCAACCCTTGAAATGTAACCTCATTTCTCCTGGAGATATATATAGTGAATCCGTGGGCTTTGATTCCACATATACAGTACAAGAGACAGGGCCTTCTCAGTGGTGGCCCCTTGGCTGTGGAACTCCTTTTTAAAATATGTATTCCAAGCAGTGGATGGTTGAATCTCCAAATAAAGAATCTGTGGATACAGAAGACAGACTGTATATCCATCTAGTCTGATATTGTCTGCTTTGTCTGGGCTTTCAAGCTGAAGTAGTCTTGCCAATCGTTTTCTGTGCGATCTGCATTTTTTTACCACAGATGTCACCAATTGGCTTTTGCACACTGAACCTAACCCTTCCACTGCATTTTTCTTCTTAGCTCCTAAAGCAGCATGTGCCACCACACCCCTCCACCCTGATAGATTACTCGGCAGGGAATGTGGCTCTTCACAGAAATAGGTTATCATCGCCTGAACATTGCAGTTTCCCTTTTGACAGATGGCTTGGAACACCCATAATGATGTCAAGTTCCACTTGGACATAATGAACTTGCAGTGGTGTTGATTTACAGCACTTTCCTCTGCAGGTCTGGTTGGAAGCAAGTCTCATTCAATTCAAGAGTCTTACGCCTAACGAAAACTGTGTACAATGGCAGCTTCAATAAGCCAACAAGATATCCATTCTTATACAGGGAGAGCATGCTCCATAAAAAAAAAAGTCTGAGCTCAAAAGCACTGTTTCATTTGTGCTTTTTCCGGTTTTGCTTTTTCCATACTTTTCTTTGTCTCTCTTGAACTTTATTAATTTTAAACAAACGTGAAATTCTTTGTTTTTGTGTGAATTCAAACAATCCAATTATTTTAAAAAGTATGACATCCACGCCAAATAAATTGTTAGCACTTGCTGGTACCCTGCACGTGATGGATACACATACACATTATCCTGCTTCTTGGTGGTGATGCACCAATGGCTCAATTGGCAGTGTGGACAATGGATCGAATAAGATCTAACCTAACCCAACAGTGCACTTCTTGTTGAAGGCTTTCATGTCTGGAATCACTGGGTTGTTGTAGGTTTTTTCAGGCTATATGCCATGTTCTAGAATGCCTCTAGAACATGGCCATATAGCCCGAAGAAACCTACAACAACCCAGTGCACTTCTTACACTGTGGAATCACTCCAGAGCTCCCAGGAACCCCTAGACCAGTGCTTCTCAACCTGTGGGTCCCAAGGTTTTTTTGGCTTACAACTCCCAGAAATCCCAGCCACTTTACCAGCTGTTATGATTTCTGGGAGTTTAAGGCCAAAACATCTGGGGCCCCACTGGTTGAGAACCACTGCTTTAAAGTTAACCCTGGATTCTATTTTGAAATAATGGTTGAATGCAGTTAATGTGTATCACATCCAGTCTATGTGTCATGTGTACTCACCAGAACAACTAAGCAGTGAGCCCACGTTATTTTGGCCAAGCAGACACGCATTAAGTCTGGATCTACACTGCCCGGGATAACAGAACATGGCCCTGGGAGTCAATCCCCACAGGCCCATACATGGAGGTCCGGATCTTTCCAAATGTCAAATTAATCTGGATTAATTTGGGTTAACCTGAGGCATTGTTTGGATAAACCTCAGGTAAACCTATGGCCCGTTGTTGGTTATGGGCATGTGTGGAAGGGCCCTATATCCCAGGATCTGATCCCAGATTGTCTGCTTATCCCAGATTATCTGGCAGTTTAGACTCATATAATCCAGTTCAAAGCAAATCAGATCCTGGATAACGGACAGTGTGGATACAGCCTTAGTCTAGCCTCTCCAATACAGTTGTCCTCTTTTTTCTGTTGCATTCAACTGTACCAAGTGTTATAGGCTTTTCCAGTTGAGTGTCATCTCGTGATATGTCCCAAGCATGACAGCTTCCATTTAGTCATCCTGGCTTCTAAGGAGAGTTCAGACTTTATTTACTCTTTTACCCATTTTTGTCATGTTGGCAAAACCATGTTTAGACAAATTAATTTTCTTCCTGTTATTTTTCTTTGCTGTCCAGCTTTCACTCCAATATATAGAAATAAAAAATACCATCTTTTCCTTTCAGAAATATATGCAGTAATTATCCTGGACCCTGATGCATCACCTTGAGGACCAACCCAAACACCTTTTGCTACCTAGAATAAAGGACACTATTCTTGTTCACCTTCAACCATGATTCAACTCACTTAAAACAACTGAAATGGCAGATGAATCACATGTCAGTTCTTCTGGCAGAAAAACGGGCTAGCTTAGAGAGTCCAGGGCAGACTACATGAAATCAACATCCCTGTCCCGAGATACTTTATTGCTGCTTTGCAACCCCCAGGATCTTTTGCCTGAGGCGGATGCCTCATTCCACCTCATGGCTGTACCAAACTCGATCACCCACTCATTGTATCTTATGGTTACATCTGTTCTGCTATGGCTTCTTCATTTGAGGGTTTCTGGTCCCTTCAAGGCCACATATGAAACATTTCACTATGTTTAATGGCCGGGTATGTGACTGTGCATGTGTGTTTAATGATAGTACTGGGGTCTGACTAAGTAACTATTATTTACAGTAGAATGAATATGTCACTTCTAGTGTTGACTCTACTCATCTCCAGCACTAATGCAGAAGAAAGCTGTCAAGATAAATAAAACCAAAGGGCAATCTGGACACACAAATATCACTATCACTATCAAAGCAAACACTCAATTGACAATCATCTCAGAAAGTAAAGGTTTGGGGAAAGAACATTTCCCTAGCAAAGAGTATGATTGCTTCTAATTAAGAGCTCCAAAACCTATGGAAAATAAATAAAGATGTCACTTTTGTCAGCATAAAGCGATGGGATTAGAAAAGGCTTCCATTAAGATTTGCCATTATAAAGTGTTTAAACCAACACTATCCTCTCTTGATTCTACATTTGTTGTAAAACCAAAAATATTTGATAAAATCACATGGGAAAAATAACCTTAAATGCGACTTTCCTCAACTGTGCCAGGATGTCTGTTAAATAAAACTTTGTTTAACTACAGTCAACCCTCCATATTTACCAGGGCACAGGACCCTAATAAAAAAGAAAAAAAATCAGCAAATAAAGAAAGTGCTTCTTTTATTTAACCTGCGAGAACACTCTAGATAAATTTCTGGATTTTCCAGCATGGTTCTATGGTTGACTTCTACTGGAAGCTAAACATAGAATTGCAACAGAGGACATAGAAATGTCCACAGAGAGGTGTTCTCCCTATTTGGAAGAATTTATTCCCTTCCTGATAGTTTTCTTCACTGACCAACTTTTACTCCCATACATAAAAATGAAAAATTGTATGCTTTTCCTTCCCAAATTTGCACAGTAATACTCCTGAATCCCGACGCATCACCTTTATGGCTAATCCAAGAAATTTTGCTCCCTAGAATAAGCCCCTCAGTGGTGTAGCAGGTTAAACCACTGAGCTGCTGAATTTGCTGACCAAAAGAACAGTGGTTCGAATCTGGGGAGGGGGGTGAACTCCTGCTGTTAGCCCCAGCTTCTGCCAACTTAGCTGTTTGAAAACATGCAAATGTGAGTAGGTCAATAGATACTGCTTTGGCGGTAAGGTAACGGCTATCCATGCAGTCATGCCAGCCTCATGACCTTGGAGGTGTCTATGGACAACAACAACTCTTCGGCTAAGAAATGGAGATGAGCACAACCCCCCAGAGTCGGACACAACTAGACTAAATGTCAAGGGGAAACCTTTACCTTTACTTTTAGAATAAAAGACTTCATATCCACCATCAGCCACAAAAGTCAAAACTTCAAATGTGGAGAGATGACTATCCCACTATTATTCCAGCTTAATTGAATGGTGGTTCTAAGAACCATTTCATATACTTGCCCCCTTTCACACTAGCTATTACGTCAGCACATTTTCACCAATAAAAACAGCATATTTGCAAAATAATCTACATTGCAATAATCTAAAAAATTTAGAGGAACCCCAGATCCTCTAGTATCTACTGGTTGAACTGTAAGACATCTCAAACTCTTCATTTCTAGTTTGCTTGGTGTGGAAGTGGTCAGGACTGGAAATTATTATGGACATTTTAGGATCAAAGTGGGTTAGAAGAAAAGGTCAGATAGTTTGATAAAAAAATATTCACACAAGATTAATCTATCCTTGGGTTTCAACCTCTTGCCCGTGTCTTCTGAACTCTTCTTCCCATTCTTTAATATCTAGGCCCTTTCCACATAGCTGAATAAAATCCCACATTTTCTGCTTTCAACTAGAATATACGGGAGTGTGAACTCAGATAACCCAGTGCAAAACAGGTAGTGTGGGATTTTCTGCCTTGATATTCAGGGTTATAAGGCTGTGTGGAAGGGCTCCTAGAGAACAGCAGCTTTTGTGATGCAAAATATATGCTCAGAGGCAGCCTTTCATGCATTGTAAGACTGAGCAATACATCTATAAAAGAGTCAAGATTTTAGCATTTCTGAGGCCCAGTTAAACTAAACATTTGCTAAATATATGGATTAAATATGAAATCTTGACAACAGTTCACTGCTAGAAAACGACACAATCCGTCTCATTAGTGTGGGCACAGCAAAATCTTAGCCTGAAAATTAACAACCTTTAAATTGGTTGGTCACATTTTGTGGAAAATGCAGTACGACATAAAGTAGTGGTAGAACACAAACTTTAACAAGAAAAATAATATTACTGAACAGCTGCAGCTTTGAAATAAAATTAGCAAGGAGAAGCTAGTTCCAAGTTACACATATGTTAATTCCTGTAAGGAAAGCATGCAGCTTGCTTAACATCCTCAAATAATCAATTATGAGTTGATGTTTGTTTTTTGGCTGGGAAGTCTGGGAGCTATAGCTTAAAACTTCTGGGTGTCTAGCCTGGGAAGAGGTCTTGGTGCTTAGCATGCAATGGTCATTATCATCTTACCTTCTGAAGGAATAAATATAATGCACATAACTATCAAAGAGAGCAAGACGCAAGAGATCGCTCCAACAAGGATTTTCATCTGAATCTGGAAGACAGAAATGATTTACATTGCAAGTCCTCGTGAAAACATTTTTTAAAAGCACTTGAGGTTTTCATTATATCACTCCCTTCCTCCTCCTCAAGGGGAACGATACCATTTTAGCAGCATTTTAAATACAGCAACAGCAGCCCTTCCTGCAAAGTCCTCTCAGAACTTTTTGTTCTTTTTCATCTTACCCAAATGTTTTCAGATGTATGTACTTATTACAGACCTTCATGCTGCCAGTTGTTTTTCGAAAAGCTTCTGGTTCTGCTTCACTCTTCAGGATGTTGGTCACTGGATCTCCAAAAGCAGTTTGCAAAAGCAGTGTCAGCTTGCTCAGATGGAGGCCAAATTTCAGACAGACTTTTTTTTACATACTTTTATAAACCATGCCAAATTTCAAGAGTTTTTCCATACAATTGGAAACAGATTTTTGAGGGCGTTCTCAGCCCTGAAATGAACTGTGGGTGGCTGCAAAGGGGCTTTGGCTCTATCATCAACATCCGTGTAAATCATACCCCCAAATCTGCTTACATGAAGGGTTAGTGGGTTTTATGACTCAACGGCAAAAATGGGCATGTGTTGTTCCACTCAAAAAGGGGAAGGATTTACTGTGTGTTTGAGTGATAAGTGAACTAGGAAGAAGTGTTTAAATGTAAGTTGATGCATTCATTATAGAATGGGATGAGGAATTGAATAATCTGCAGATCTACATGTATATTTGCATTCACACATGGATGTATTTACCTATATAAAGAGCTTGAGCAAGTTTACTGTTTTGGACTTCAGCAACCAGAAGTCCTCCACTAGCATGGCATCTGGAAACTGTAAACCAAAAAGTAATTTTCTAAAATTTTGCAGTGGCACAGCGGGTTAAACTGCTTATCTGCTGAACTTGCTGACTGAAAGGTTGGCAGTTCGAATCCAGGGAGTGGGGTGAGCCAACCTAGCAATTTGAAAACATGCAATTGTGAGTAGATCAATAGGTACCGCTTCTGCGGGAATGTAACGGCACTCCATGCAGTCATCCTGGTCACTTGACCTTGGAGGTGGCTATGGGCAACGCCGGCTCTTTGGCTTAGAAATGGAGATGAGTACCACCCCCCAGAGTTGGGCATGACTAGACTTAATGTCAGAGGAAACCTTTACCTTTACTAGAGCTTGGGCAAACGAACATAACTTAGCACCTAACATGCAAAAGGAAGTTGTTGACAACTACAGTTACAAGCAGGGCTTTCCAAACTGTTAGTGCAGTGGTTCTTGAAGTGTGCTCCCCGGAGCCCTTGGGGCTCCGGAAAGCATACTGAGGGGCTCTGCACTTTCCCCCTCTCCTTCTTCTCTTCCTTCCTCTCCAAGTGCACATGCCAGAGGCTTTCCTGACCCCAGGGAGGGAGCGAGCAAGGGATGGAATGAATGTGGGCCCAGAAAGGAAGGCATCATGTGAAGGGAGGGAGGGCCAGCTGAGGCAGAAGGCAAGGCCTCTCTCAGACTTAGTGGCCAGGTCTCCTCTTGCTCCCACAACAGCCATAGCAGCAGCATTGTCCTCCCAGGGCACAGACCCTTTTCTCTGCACCTTCCTTCCTTCCAGAATCCTATTTCCCTCCCACTGTTCAGAGGGTGCTTTGATTGTGCTTTTACAGCATGGCAGAAGGGGGTTGGACTGAAAGGCCCATGAGGTTGCTCCTCCTTCTCCTATTATTATTATTATTATTATTATTATTATTATTATTATTATTATTTCAAAGACTGGGTGGCCATCTGTTGGGGGTGCTTTGATTGTGCTTTTACTGCATGGCAGGAAGTGATTATTATTGCTGTTACTACTACTACTACTACTACTGCTACTGTCACTACAGAGACTGGATTGCCATCTGCCAGGGGCACTTTGTGTTTTTCCTGCATGGCAGAAGGGAGTTGGACTGGATGGCCACTGGGGTCTCCCACTGAAATACTGTTAAGTTTATGTTAGTTAAAACTGTTCTTCATTTTAAATATTGTCTTTCTTTCTTTCCTTTTTTTGCACTAAAATTGAGATATTTGTAGTGTGCATAGGAATTTATTCATTTTTTCCCAATTAGTTCACACAAACACTCACCATCAGTCTGCCACTGGCCTAGCCTGTCTGTCAAATTTTGAAATGCAATGCGTCTAAAAATTTGCCCATGCCTGATACACACACACACACACACACACACACATTATATATAATCTATAATTTAATATATTAAAATGTCTTGGGATTCCATGAAAAACTTTTGCTTCAAAAACAGCCCCATGGCTGAAAAAGTTTGAGAACTTGTTTTAGTGTGATAGCTGCAGTGTGTAAATGAGTCGCATGAATCTAATGAGAAACCTCCAAGTCTATATGAAATAAGCAATAAATTGTAAAATTTTAAAATATTTAATGGAAGGTTTGTGTGACATATGTTGTGTCCCCATACATTACAATTTATGTATTTGATCTGCACTAAACTGCATTTTCCTGCTTTGTCCCAAATTAATTCATATTTATCTGAGGTGTCATTTGGATGCCTCAGGGAAAAAAGTAAGTGCTCGCCTGTTTTAGGCGCTCTCTAGATACACCCTTAGATATTATTACGCTGGAAAGAACTCCCACTGAAATCAATTGGGATTCTTTTAAAGTAAATTGGGGATATGTTTTTTTTAAGTGGAAAGGTTCCAGATTTATATAAAGAATGAGAAAGACTGATAGGAAAAGAGAAATGTAGTATTTATGTTGTGTGGCTTTTTCTAAAAAAATTCTGATTGTAAGAAATTTTTTTACCATAACTTAATTTAAAAAAAATAAGTTGGTATGTATGCGACATGCTTGAGAATCAGCAGCTCTGAACACAAAAAAGCTGACTTCTAAGTAAATATACACAAGATTAAGCTGTAGCATAGATGTAGAGCTAAGGAAGCATTCCTTGGAAAAAAATCTTCCCAGGAAAACCTGATGATAAGATCATTATAAATTAAAGTAGACTTGAAAGCACATTCCAACAATGTTTGCATGACATGCTGGTGCTGGAGAGGAAACTCCTTTTTAACAGGAGGAAAATCAAGGGGCCTCGTCTCTCAGGAGACATGGGGCTGATGAAAGATTGTGTTTATTAGTATTTGCAAAAGGTCTAATAGCACCAGCCAACACAGATCACAGATTTCAGAGCCTCAAATGTTAGTCCTGACTCTGGATATATTTGACCTGCTGATTTTCTTTTTACCTTCTCCGACTGTTCCTTTCTAAACTGAAATCCTGAAGAGAGAAACTTAAAACCAGGCCTATTCTAGTTACGATTGCCAAATAGCCATTTAATGACATTCTCAGCTGACTGCCTTAGACCAGGACAGGATTGGAGAGCTCAAGTGGCAGCTTTTACTAAATATGTGCCAAGAGCAAAGGAACTAGGAGTGCTTTTTTGGTTTGCTCTTTCACTCGCTCTTTCATAGGACCAGGTTTCTTCTAAAGGTGCAGTTTTAAATTTTTTGTTTTAGTTTTAGTGATCCCAGCATATTTAAGATTTGCATTGCAGAAATCCAACAGTGCAGAGACAGGGTGATAAAACAGGTTTCACTTGTAGATGGAGGGCACCATTGTCTTTCAAATAAAGTCTCGCTCGTGATCAAAAGCTATCCTCACCTCCACCATCTTGGCCTTCTGTTTCTTCATTCTCCTTGTCAAATGAGGAATTACAACTTTGAAAAACCAGTAATGGGCAATTTGCTGCTGCTGAGATATATTACCAAAACTTTTCTCTTTTGATGGACTCTGAAAATAAAATAAAATAAAAAGATCTGCAAATATAAAATACGTTTTCATTAAACTACAACAAGGTAAAGTTTGCAGCCAAGTCTAATGATATAATAATTATAATAATAGTAATAATATAATATATAATAACTTTATAATATTTATTTATTTTATTTACAGTGTTTATATTCCGCCCTTTTCAATCTGCAGGGGACTCAGGGCAGATTACAATGCACATATACATGACAAACATTCAATGCCAGTTAGACATACAACATATATAGACAGACGCAGAGGCAATTTAATATTCCAGCTGTGGCCAAGCTTTTCTGGCTTCATGAGGGTATGCTGGATTCCGGCTCGATTCTGGCCACAAGGGGAGCTGCTGCTTCACCGTATATTGTGACACCGAGTCCTTTGATGGAGTACTTCCTCATTCTTCTGCATGCTGCTGGAAGGTTTTTTTATGGCTTTGTAAATTAGTTAAGTTAACCTCCACACATAAGCGGTACCTAAATTTCCTACTTGACAGATGCAACTGTCTTTCAGGCTGCATAGGTCGACAGCAAGCTAGACAAATGGCCGGAAGCTCACTCCAACCTGGGCTGGCTTCGAACTCATGACCTCTCGGTCAGTAGTGATTTAATGCAGCTAGCTCTCAGCTAACTGCGCCACAAGCTGGTAATAATTTTATAAAGATATATAATATATTTATACTATATATAACTTAATAATAATAATAATAATAATAATAATAATAATAATATAACTTTAATAAATAATAACTTTATTATTATACCCTGCCACCATCTCACCAAGGGGACTCAGGGCAACTTACATATGGGACAAAATATCCACAAGACACAAATATGAAACAAACCATTAGAGCAAAAACACAATTAAAATAAAAGCATAATAAAATATAACAATCCAGATAAAAACACAATTAAATAAAACATAAGAATTTAAAACAGCAGTGTCCATGCATGTCTCCTCTGAAATAAACATAAGTTATTTTTAAAAACCCAACAAATGGTAAAGAGATACCTTTTGTCTCTGAACTGCAGAATGTATGCAGTTTGACACCACTTAGCTGCCATGGCTCAATGCTATGGGATCCTGGGAGTTGTTTGATGCCACACCAGCCCTTTTTGGAAGAGAAGGTGAAAGGCCTTGTCAAACTACAGCTCCCAGATCTCATAACAATTAAAGTGGTATCAAACTGCATTGATTTTAAGTGTAGATGCACCCTGTTGGAAAGGACCCTATGGGATTTGGCAGAGGTACTGTCACTCAGAAGAGACCATGTAGAGCCTGAGACAATTTACTGCCTGATGTATATGGGGAATGAGGCGCCCTCACTCCCCATATGCATCAGCCAAGTGATTCTGGCACCTGAGGCAATAACCTCACAATCCCTTTCCTTCTTCTTGGCAATGAAAATACAATGATCGTAAATGAAACAGCTATGACGTTTCTCCTTTTCAGGACAGCCAAAGCCTGAGGTGTTTGACTCATTCCCCCAGTATTAGTACCAGCCCTGTGCCGAGCTAGATGGACCAATGCATTAACTCACTGGACCTCAGGCAGAAGTTGCATGTTGTATTTGCATTTTTACAATTTATATAGTATGCAGATGTTGGCGAGGCCACTGCTCCCCTGTTTCTCCCTTCTTCAGCTCAGAGAAGGCATACCTCACTATGCCTTCATGGTATTGCTCTGGAAACTCTCTTTGTGGCTCTTTCTTTCCT